TGCCCCATTTTCTGACTTTAAAACACTGGTTTTCCTTTGTTTTTTTCCCCCCAGGACCAATTTCATATTGCCTCTAAAATGTTTATTGTGATTTTGACCTTTTTAAAATGTGGTGCCACATGTCAAAGTGTGCATGGCTTTACATTTTCAAAAATACGGAAGGCCAATTATAATAGGCGAAGAACTAGATAAATATGGCACAGAATAACCTCAAGAGGACAGCACTCCAGCTACCAGTTAAATGAAGTTGCAGGAAATATCTTGAGACTGAACTTTAATCAGCAGAATGCATGACACAGTTTTCACTGTTTATCACGGCCTATGGAGATCCACTCTGAGAGTAAACACAAGGGAGGGACACTTTTACCACAAGATGCCTGGTTTAAGAAGCTCTAAATCTATATTGCAGTTTAAAAAGTACTGCAAACACAACAGTTTTAATTAAATAGGTTGTAATTATTTTTTTTAAAGAATACCAGGTTATAATGGAGAAGTCATCTAAACAGGTATCATGAATAGCCTAAAAATATATTTTCTGCCATTTTATTCGAAAAAAGCAGAACTCAGTCAGCCAGACAGGACCAGGAGTATGAATAGCATATTCCTACAAAGTCTATCTTTGGGACATTTTTCCATCTTACTGCACATACTGACAGACATTATCACCATAGGCTGACATTTGATTTCCAAGGAAGAATTTAGTGCCAAGAGGCATTCAGGACAGCCTGAGAACCCATCTGCATTATTCATCTTCATACAGTACTGATTTTGTCAGTTGTAAGTTCATAGTTTAATAAGATTGTCTCAATTGTATCAGTCTAATGAAAATGCAATTAACCGTGAAATATAGTTACTTTAAATGAATGTGACCGTTCAGAGAGCTGTGGGTGTGATTGTGCCTTGTGTTTACTCTTGATTCACTGGAAGGGTCACTGTCCAGAGTGACTCACACTGAAACACAGCACTGCCCACAGATTGATAAAAAGATAAAGTATGACACAGCTCTTAGTTGAACTTTAAGTTCCCCTTTTTCATCAATCCACAACTGGTTTAATCTGGAATCTGTGGGATTCTGTGGAATTGTTTTCAGCATGCATCAGGAAGAAATGATGATGATGATGATGATGAAAATAATAATAATAATAATACATATTATTACTAATATTAAATATATGTAATTTATTTAATACATTATTATTAAATATAGACTTATTAAATGTTAAATTTAATTACAATAATATTATTAGGTAATAAACAGGGTTATTATTATTATTAAATATTACTACTATAATTAAATATATGTAATTTACTTAATAAATGATTATTAAATATATACATATTACATGTATACATTTAAATACGATAATAATATTAGGTAATAAACAAGATTATTATTATTAATAATAATACAGGTTATTACAATTATTAAATATTTAAATATATCATGTTATTTATGTAATAAATTGTTATTATTTAAAAAACATTATATATATATACTTGGGGATTCTGTAGCCAGAAAACCCCCACACAGTGTATGTGAATCTCTGGAGCTTTGCACCAGAACTCACATACTGCTGTGTGTCTCTCTGCTGTCAGGTACACATTTCTTAGATTCAATCTTTGAGCAATCAATGTTATGTATTTATTTGAATTGGAACGGAATTGAACTCTGAATTGGCTTCTAATTGTTTGTTATGTAATTGGCGTGAAACAACTTTACCTGACTAATAATAAATTGTTATATTTGACTTATTCTGATCTCTTCTGAAATCATTATTTCTAGTAGATTAAAGTGTAGTCTGGTGTTTCTGCAAATCTGCATCCAGGACAGATCATACGGAAGTACCAATGAATGGACCATGGGGGACATCTTTAGGGACTTCCGATTTCTGACTGTCACTGACTTAACAAGTTGCAGTTTTCGTGATTATAGAAAAAATACACTTTTTGTTATTTGCTTGCAGGGTGTGGCATACTTAAGGGTATTATAATCACCCTGTATCCTCTGAGTAAGTACAGAACTGGCGAGTTTGTGCCGTGCGTTCACTGTTGGCCAAGTGAACTTCTAAGTGACACTGGGTCATTAATGAACGAATAATTGAAAGTATGGGATTTCCAGAATAATCAAATATCTAAATTAATAAACAATCGATATTTGTGATCAGTTTTTAATTAGCAATATTGCCTAAATTTAATGATCACTTGAAACTGGAGTCAGATTGAACACGGAGCTAGACTAAAATTGAAACTAAATCCTGATAAATTCAGAGGCGCAAGTAAAAGACCGAACACGCACTAAACCTTCAACCAGGCCGCTAGACTTCGCTTTTGGACCGGCGGGTGGATCCTTACAAATACAATAGTTATTAGGTAATAAACAAGGTTATTAATAATAATAACAACAACAGATGTTGTTATTATTATTAAATATATGTAATTTAATTAATAATAAATTAATTTTAATAAATATACAGTTGAAGTCAAGTTTACATACACCTTGCAGAATCTGCAAAATGTTTATTATTTTACCAGGGATCATACAAAATGCATGTTATTGTTTATTTAGTACTGACCTAAATAAGGTATTTCACATAAAATATATTTGCGTATAGTCCACAAGAGAAAATAATAGTTGAATTTAGAAAAATGACCTTGTTCAAAAGTTGACATACACTTGATTCTTAATACTGTGTTGTTACCTGTGTGATCCACAGCTGTGTGTTTTTTTTGTTGTTGTTGTTCATGAGTTCCTTGTTTGTCCTGAACAGTTAAAACTGTCTGCTGTTCTTCAGAAAAATCCTTCAGGTCCCACAAATCCTTTGGTTTTCCAGCATTTTTGTGTATTTGAACCCTTTCCAACAATGATTGTATGATTTTGAGATCCATCTTTTCACGCGGAGGACAACTGAGGGACTCATATGCAACTACTGTATTACAGAAGGTCCAAACGCTCACTGATGTTCCAGAAGCAAAAACCATGCATTAAGAGCCTTCAACTTTTGAACAGAATGAAAATGTGTAAAAAAAATTTAAATTTTGCCTAAATATCATATTTTTTCATTTAGTACTGCCCATATTTATATGTTTCCCAGAAGACAAAATAAGTTAAATTTACCCAGATCTTCAAATTCAAAAAATGTTTCATATGGGTCCCTCAGTTGTCCTCAGTGTGAAAAGATTGATCTCAAAATCATACAGTTGGAAAGGGTTCAAATACACAAAAGATGCTGGAAAAGCAATAAATGTGTGGGACCTGAAGTATTTTTCTGAAGAACAGCAGGCAGTTTAACTGTTCAGGACAAACAAGGGACTCATGAACAACTATCAGTAACAAAATAATAATAAATAAACAAACAAACACACAGCCGTGGATCACACAGTAATAATACATTATTAATACAATAATAATACAATAATAATTTGCAATTTATAATACATTTATAAATATAATTATTGCACAAGACCTTGCTGCCACCTTACTGGTGTTTTTGAGAATATATACCTGAAAAGTCTACTTTCAGCTTTCTTAGCTTCAAATCACTTTAATGTGGTTGGGTCTGTAAAAACAAAAAGTCATTTGAGAGTATTTTAAGCCAGACTAAATGAGTGTAGACAGATGGATTAGACTCAGGGTAATGTGATCCTCTGTTTGACTGTAAATAAACTGCAATTGTAGTAATAATACCTCTAGAGACAAAGAAAATCTGAGCTTTTAACTTCATTATAGAGTCAGTCCAACAGTAAACAATAGTTTTGGTCCCTAAACGTAATTTTGGTCAAACCGTTTTGCTTTTGTGTCATGAAATAAAGCATGTGAGAAGGGCCACACTACCAACAGTCTTCTTGAAAATTAAAACTTATAATATAGGTCATATGCTATTTATTACTTAGTAAAAACAATTTCATATTTCTGACCCACACTGACATCTACCTTTAAGAGCATGTGAAAACTGGATTAAACTAGAAGTAACTGACTGTTGCTGATGGATAACAGCAATGGGCGGCTCAAACTGTCAACATCAGAAAACACCCTTATCTCAGAGAACAGACACGATTAGTTCCATGATGTCTGCTGGGACTCTGCTGATTTAGTGTGAAAGATTGGCTGAAAAGATTTCTCGCATCAAATAGTTTACTCACTATAAAACAATAGGCCTACTAGCTCTCAAGCCTACAAGACGATTGTGTTTTTTTTCTCCGAAAACATATTTTTTGTCTACATTGAGTGCAAATGTCCAACAAGTCTTATTGACTAATTTCCAAGCTTCATTAAAAATGTATTAATAGAAAGTGTAAAGCAAAATGATTCTCTGTCTGGAATATATTTACTATGTTTGCACTAAAAGTTGTTTTATATCAGGGGTGCCCAATCCTGGTCCTGGAGATCTACCTACCTGCAGAGTTCAGTTCCAACCCAACAGGATTGGGCACCCCTGTTTTATATAATACCTTGACTGTACTTTATTCATTAGGCTATTAAAGAACCAATAAATCTGAGAATGGGAAGTTCCCACCATAGCTATAAAGATATCTTGGAATCACTTTCAGAACGATCTGATGAATGATAAAACATTGCCAGCCAATCAGAATCCACCCAACTATAAAGATCTCGAGCTTTTAAAGGGGCAGACGACATTACTGCAGCTCGCTTAGAACCTTATTGTCCACTGGTGTGGAGGCTAGTTTGTTCTGGGTGTGAACTGGCCTTAAGTAGGCTTATACAGTAGCCTAAGCTTGAGGTTAGAGAGATTGTTTAATTAAAGTCTCTTTATTTAATCAAACTTAAGACATTATGATTTCACGTTGCCTATATGACCCTAAAATCACACGTAAAGGTGAGGTCACATTAGCGAAATTTCACCGGCAAAAAGATTGGCCTATTTTGTTGTCAATAGTGTAACACGAAGCACAGCTCACTTTCAAGCCAGGCAGCATTCTATTGGTAAAAGGGGCAAATTTGTGTGCAAAAAAGAATATAATAATAATAATTAAAAAAAATAAATAATAATAACAACAATAATAATAATAATAAACTCAACAGGAAATCTGCATGGGGAATTGTTTCTCTCATGCGACATTCCCAATCACCTGGATTCTTGACTAGATTTCGCCCGTGAAATTTCGCCGACCATCGGTAAATGTAAGAGCACCTTAAAATCATAAGTTACTTCATTTAGACTGAATAGGCGATTTATTAACACATTAAAAATTAAGCAACAGTCTCAATCCTGAAGATACTAGCCTATTATAATTCATATTAGTTTCTATTCTAATAAGCAATTATGTCTATATTTTCTATCACTGAATTTGAATTTTTACATTATTATCCTCATTTTACGTTGGTAGCCTACATAAAAGATAAAAATAAAAAAAACATTTAAAGCATGTGCCCATAAAAAAATATGGCTGTTTTGTCAACTCTGAATTTAACAGATGGAGCTGAAAACTACTTAGAAACCACCCTGCAGATATCCATTCACTAAATGCTTTCAGCAATATTTATAAATATTTCACACATTTTATTATCTGAGTGTTGACTCATACTCAAGGAAAACACATTTTAAGAAAAAGGAAGAATCATGAGATTATCAAAACACATTTTTTTCAAGCATACTGTTACATGGCAATAGACACTGCTGATATTGAACCTCTTCATAAGCAAATTTGGCATCAGTCCATATTTCAAATGTTCTCCATGGTGTCTTTAAGCTCAACTTTCTCGCTCTGGATCAGTTCAGTCTCCTCTCTCTGTATTTTCACAGCACGCCAGCATGACTCTGTAAGGAGTGGACACAATCACAAGTTCAGTACAAAGCCTTGAGGAACACCAGGCTCCAGCATAAGTGATCACGGTTTCTTTTTCCGTGCACACATCTGCACAGCTTCCCAACGAAAACTTCCCTCAACGAAACATCAGCGACTGGCGCGTCAGTCCGGTAATGAGCATAAATTTGTCCTTCTTGTCCTGCTGAAGAGCCATGAGCGCTTTGGAGATGCCCTCGGGATCCTGGTGCAGCGCGAGGATGCTCCTGGCTCTCTCCACCGCCTTCAGGTCTCCTGCTTTCTCGAAGAGTTTCACCAGGACGTCTTGGTTGACGTTCTCGAAGATGTTCGGCGACGCTTTCTTGCGGTGCGCCGTGTCAAACTTGACGCCGCTCACGGCGGGACTGACGCGGCGAGAGTTTGAAGACGCGTATGAAGACATGGCGGTAGAAATAGGCTAGACCGTTTTCGAGACGTCCCGTGTTTGATAGCAGCGGCTGTGCTCTCAGTGACTCCAGCGTTGGAGATAACAGCCGGTTTTATAGGGGACTGGCCGAGTGCGAGAAATCCCTTTCGAGATGATGTCATGCGGACGGTAAGTGAACGCCCAGCTTTACCCGCTGCGCACAGCAGGACGCGCTGAGGGACTCCGTCCTGACGCAGAGATGAACTTACCTAGGAATTCATTAATGAGTAACTGGCTCACTATAATTGACCTCGAACAGTGAAATCGTTTGGTTCATTTTAGTTCAGCGTTGTCTACAACAGACAACTAACAGACTTTCTACAAGAAATTGCCTTATGAATTACTCGCTCCAAGATAGATAGCATAGCAATACTGTATTTCCTTACTGGAAAGTTTAGAGTGGCAGCAGTTATTATAATATAACTGTATATTATTATATTAAAATTGTATAGCCTATTATACCCAAGTAAAGTACTAACAAAGCTATTTTTTTTATTCTTTCATATATATTTTTCATACTTTTCAATATTTTCATATAAATTTCACACCTCTATTGATTATTAATCAAATAAAAAAAATCAATTGAGAAAAAGATCAAACTACCCTGTACCCCAGAGGTTTAAAATAGTAGCCAACACAGTTGACTTTTTGACATATTTTCTTTTAAAACTTTTAAATTTACGGCTGTCTTTATACCACTGATAAACAATATTTTTAGTTTAATATTATTTTCTTTCCTAATTCAATCAAAATCATTATTATTATACATCATTATTGATGTGATTATATCGGGTTTTGGAGTTTTCGTGCTTTCGTGCTTTACAGAAGTTGTAAATGAGTTTCTCCTGTGTATTTTGTCATACTCTCTGTTTTATTGATGATGAGGGGGTGAGATTACTAAATTGCTTAATTCAGATGATTTCATCTCTACAAGTTTAGCATTTAAATGTTTTATGACACTTCGGATTTATCTGCATGATGTTCACCTTCAAACTTTATGAAAATGACCGGTGTTATTTAAAATTTTAGCAATAACTTTAAATATTTCAGCACTTGTCTTACTCCTGCAGGACATTACGTAGTAAACGAGCTGTTACATTGGCAGACTGCTACAGATCTCATCAGTGATGCTGGCTTGGGAATGAGGAACAACATGCATCTCTCTCATTTTATGAGATAATGTTCAGAAATATGCACTGATTGTTCTTTCCGCATGACGGTACTTATCACATGCATGCATTATAGTGCATGTGCACGAGAAGAATATAATTTTTTCATGGCATTAAAAGCCTGGCTTGTATGAATTGAATGTATTTTAAGAGACATATAGAGAAATAAGATAAGAGAACATATATAACATATATAAGAGAAATATTTTAGAACTGTAAAGCATGAAAGCATTTTTATTTAATAAGATGTAAAAAATATATTGCTAAAATAATATTTTTAATAAGTGAAAATGTAAACATTAAATTTGAGAAGCATAGCTGACACTTTTTATATAATTTTTTTAAATTTTAACATTGGATAACTCGTAAACATGTTTCTTATTTAATATTCATTAAACAAATCTTTATCTTTTTTTTTTTTTTTTTACTTACTTTGAATACTCTAAAGGATGGCTAAAATTGCCTTTCTGAATATGAAAGAAAAATATTATTTGTTTAGGCTATTGTTTGGCATTTGTTACTACATTAACAACAAAAGTGATTCATTGCACAAGATTATTCCAGTTATGAATTTCACTCACTCACACACACACACAAAAACAAACAAAAACAAAAACAAACAAACACACACACACACACACAAAATCCTATCCCTTCTAAAAAATCAGTTAAGAAACAGACTGTACTTTTGCCAGCTAGTGTAATTCCGCAATCAGTGTTTATATTTAGTTCCCACGAGCCATTACAGTCCTTTAAATGATGGGAAAGGTCTACTATAAATATGTATTTCACTAGTAAATAAGGGCTCTTACGCTGCTACTCAACATTTCTGAGGAAACAGAACACATGAAGCTATTTTTATTCAAGTTGTGTGGGGCTGTCCTCAAGGGGAACAGCTGGGAACATTCCATGGGCTCTAAGAAGGCCTACCAAGGTCTTTTATGGTATAGCACTCATTGGGCTTCAGTACAGCAGCAGTAGTGTAACATCTGACACTGGAATACTGTGAGAACCCTCCCAGTGATGTATACTCAAAGCAAAACTACATTAAAAGAATCTTAAGTTGTACTGTTCATTCATTCAATAGAAGGAAGGATCACCTCACACTAACTTCCCATTTGCACATACAGTACTGATCGTATTCTTACTTAGAATACTTGAATACAGTCCAAGTTATTCACTGATTATAATGTGGCTGAAAACCATCAACGGGGGCCACTGTTATGCAGTCATGACTACAGTAACTAACAGTGACTCTTATTTGTCCAGAACCAAATATCTATTTCCTTCACATGCCCTTCCTCTACAGTCACCCATGAGAAAGAAGTCCTGGAAAAACAGCAGTTCCACAGTAATGCCAAGCGACTAGTTTCACAGTAGCCTAATATCATCGGCTAATGTCTTTTCTCATTATTGTAATTTATTTTAACTTCTTTTCCTCTTATAGCCTACTTAATAATTTTTTTGTGTGCCTGCCTCACTTAGGCTCGTATTTAATCACTTGGACACAATATGGTCTGACTCGGGCTAAATGAATATGAACTTCGGCAAAGTGTACAGTTAGTGACTTGAGAACAGCGCTCTCTTGTGGCTGAAAAGATAGTCAAGTTTGGGCTAATTGAAGTTGATCAACCAAATCGACTGAATCGTCGAAGCAATTAGTCATATATTGATTTTGAAAGTTACACAATTTAAGAATTATGCAACGACGTCCACTTTTTAAAGCAATTTCAGGGAACTATTTAAATACTTATTTAAATCCAAGTTAGCTTAGAAGTTGGATGTGACACTTCATCGAATTCATGACTCAGACTAGGCTAGTCTTTTTGAGGGAAAAACTTAAAACTAATGCAAACCTTGAACTAAGTTACTTTTTATGCTTTCGCTAATTAGCGGCATTTTTGGTTTAAACTGTGGGAAGAATACATTAAGATTCTGCGTTTAGGCCTACTCGATAAGAAGAAACGGCTATGCGGTTATAAGTAAGCAATGATGCTTGTGACCTGTTTTTTTAGGATTATGTTGCTAGTACCGCACAGGCTGAGGCGTTTCAACCCGTAGAGCCGCGTGTAGCATGACAAGCTCCCGCAGCGCCCCTGTTCCCCAGCCCTGCCGCATTCTCTGGCTATCGTGTCGACGACAGTGAGTAAATGATGACAGAATTTCCATCCACAACCGCAGAGTATTGAGTCAAACAGAAACAACGCAAAGGCTGAGTTTGCGAAGTGAATTATTTATGTGGTACCGCGTGTTCCTGACGTACTGCAGGGAGATGTGACCACTCCATGCCGTGTGCTCCAGCTACTGTACGTCCATCCAGCTAACGCAGAAGTAGTAGCCTACATGTGAGTACACTGCACGGGGACAAGCGCTGACTGAGGGACAAGCTGAGACAGTAAAATATCATATTAATTTCATGTTGTCATTAAACACAAAATATGTCTACATTCACTGTGATTTTGGGTTACACTTGATTTTAAGGTGCCCTTGTAACAGTGTAATTATACATTTACTGTAAGTACTGAGTAATAGGCATATTAATGAACTACATGTAGCCTACTTACTATATGGGTAGGGTTAGGATTAGGGTTACTTGCATGTAATTATGCATAATTTTTTGTTATTATAATAGTAAGTATGCTATAGGCCTATGTAACTTGTGTAACAAAGACAACTTAAAATAAAGTGATACCTGATTTTGTTGTGTTGTGGAGCATTTCTGCTTTGAATGTGGACAAATAAATTGTCACTTTGAAGTACACTAGAATATGATGAACTCCAAATGTGTTTTTTAAGTCTGCGATTTTGCTTTCAGTTGAATCAACTATAGTCAGTGAACAGTTTCTTAACAATGAATTAAAGAACACCTTTGGTTGGATCCTTTCAATTGCTGTGGCATGGATTCCTATACGGCCTGAATGTACGAGGAACACAATGCAAGAGGGATAAACAGGGTTGGTATGCTGATCAAGGATTACTTTATCAGGTCAGAATGAACCCCTTGTAGATTAAATGTATATGTTTTTGTTTCGGGTGAACCATCCCTTGCAGATACAGCTACATGATTTGATTCAACTGTAGTTAAACAGGATGCCAAGTAGCTGCTATTTTAATAGCCTTTTTAAAAATTCATATTATACGCTCCATAAAAATCCCACTAAGTAAAAATGAACAAATATTCTATTAACCATACGGTTCAGGCAGCTGTTTCCTCATCTATGCAAATGTTTCTCAGATCCAACATCAGTCCAACTACAGCTCATTAGTATGTGAGGAGGCCACATCTGTGCAATCTGCAGTTTTAAAACGTCCAAAAGTGAGACAGCAGGTGGAGCTCTTCACACGTTTTTCTCTTATGCGCATATGAAATGCTCAGATCAGGCTTGAATGTCAAGGATACCACACAATCTGCACACAAAAAGATGATCTCATTTTTTGAAAAAGCTCCAAAAGGGGCAATCTGAAGCCTTAAAATCTTTTTAAAAACAAATTAAAATTTGTGCAGTAAAATAAAAGTAATAAAAATGTCAGGGACTATCATTGTGCATATATGGAATTTTATAAAATACTGTTTTAATGAAAAAAAAAAAAAGCAAAAATCAAGGCCAGAGTATCAAGTAACTATTGTTCTGTGTGTCATGCCTAACAAACACCCTCTAGCAGTCACAATACAGCACAGCCGAGCCTTGTGTTCAAGAGCACAAGCTGCATTTATAAAAATCCAAGCCTTATAATTTGGCTCTTGTATAGGGTACACAAGTAAACGGCAATACTGGTGGATGAGCTTTCAGAAGGATTCTCAACTAGAGAACGGCCTTGATAAAGACAGTCCAAGATAAAGAGAAATAAATGACAAAGAACAGCCAGAAGTAGCTGAGCCAGTGTGTGTGGGTGGTCAATAATGCTCTGCAAACCGTTTACGCCAAAATGGGCAGTTGCAGGATTCCAACTGTTTGGCTACTGCTATTAAGCACACACTTAAATAAAACAAATCAGAGCCAGTCAAAAATTAACAATAATAATATATTTAATATTTTATAATATTATACATATAAATTATTAATTAATGCTTTAATTCAGCAAGGATGCCATCAATTCATAAAAAGTGATAGTGAAGATGTTTATAACGTTACAAAAAACGTCTATCGTCAGTCTATTCATCACTCTTCACAAAAATACCAAGCAGCACAACGGTTTTCAACATTGATAATAAGAAGTGTTTCTTGAGCAGCAAATCAGCATATTAGAATCTTTTCTGAAGGATCATTTGACACTGAAGACTGAAGCAATGATGCTGAAAATTCAGCATTACCTTCAAGAATAAATTACATTTTAAACTGTAATAATATTTTACAATATTACTGTTTGTGTTGTATGCAAATAAATGAAGCCTTGGTGAGCATGACTGACTTCTTTCAAAAAGTCTTAGGTGACCCCAAAATTTTGAACTTTTTAAAGTATCCTTACACAGATTTACAAATAATTTCAAATCTCCTGCAGTTATTATACACTCTCAGAATGCATGCGAAGACATTTATATTTTGCACAAGTATCAGTTTAATGCCATTCAATAAAACAGTCAGCCTATTTAGATGTATTAATTCAGCTACAATGTAGCTTTGGTTAAGAGAGCCAGTTTTTATTCATCTCTCTGTAACACATATACATGTGGAAGGTCTTCTCTCACTTCCTGAAATGTGGTTCTTGTATTTAGCTCTTCTGATAGCTCACCACCAAGACGTCTGTTGAATGTGGGTTGAATTCTTTCACTCGTCTTCCTGTACATTGAGGGAAGTGATGAGTGCAGTATTGAATGCTACCACACTACATGACCACGTCCTTCACATTACCAAGAGAGAGCGAGAGAGAGAAAAGTTTTCATTTACTGAAGAAAAATTGAGTCGTGCTCGCCTCCACAATAGAGAAAGTGATGGACACATGAATAGAAGAGAGATTTTTAAAAGCATCCGCTGCCATCAGATTACAAAAGCATTATTACAGGTACAGATAAATGATCCCAGATTAAATACTCAACATGATGACTATACTTCATCTATTGGATTAGATAATCTCATTTCTCACTGAGCATAATAAATGAGACTGGCTTACATTAAATAAGCCAGTTTGCACAATAGCATCTCTACAGGGACAATGTGCTTTCAGGAGATTATAAAAATGAGCTTGTGAAGCAAATCACAGCAACAAGCCTGAAAAACCGCTCCAATCCACCTACGCACCTACAGAAGCGATGTTAACGGCACTGTAAAGTCACCAATGTGACCCTGCAACACCTCACTGTTCAAAAAGAGGGCGCTCTCCACTCGCTTGAGTTAAACACTACTGCGAGTTCATGAGCATTTAAGAGAACTAGATCACAAATTTGCCTCTGTATAAAGAACAAAAGGTAAAAGATGTGGCTTCATATCTTAATGCTGCTACGCCATCAACATCACCATTATACATCAATGTTGATCTCGTTCTCCTGAGGCTATGCAAATGGTGAAAGAGAAATGGCCTAGTTTACTGAACATTTTTTTTTTTTTTTACATTAGCAGCTGTTCAAATGAAGGCTGAAAAGGTCTGAGAAGAAAACTTTCTATATAAATGTTTGACCATGATGTCATATTTACATATGCTTTGCTTTAATGCAAATTAAAAGCAAATATATTGCAAGAACCGCAGGCTGTCACACGAAATCAAGCAAAAACAGGCTTTTGCCCAGGACAATAGTTAACACAGTAGTTTATACCCATGTCTTGTACAGTTTTAATGACTAAACTCTTTAAAAAAATACAGGCTCCAAAAGGGGTTTTGCAGCAACACCATGTGTGAAGAACATTTGAATAATCTAATGAACGTTTTCAACCAAACATTTTTGAAAATGAAGGTTCTTTATTGGCATTGATGGTACCATGAATACCCTTTAATACCCAATGAACCTTTCCATTCCACAAGAGTTTAAAGCGTCCACTTTAAAGGGATAGTTCACCCAAAAATAAAAATTACCTCATGATTTACTCACCCTCAAGCCATCCTAGGTGTATACGACTTATTCTTTCAGACAAATACAATTGGAGTCATATTAAAAAATGTCCTGGCTTGTCCAAGCTTTATAATGGCAGTGCATGGGAGTCGAGATCTGAAAGCCCCCAAAAGTGCAACCATCCATTATAAAAAGGCCTTCTGAAGCGAAGCGTTGCTTTGTGTAAGAAAAATATCCATATTTAAAACTTTATAAACTGTAATCTCTAGCTAACTGCTGTACGCACATTCACGGGAGAGTGGATGATGTAGGTTCTTCAGCTTATTAAAATGTTCTTCACACTAAAAAAAAAAAAAAAAGGTTATTGTAGGAACCATTCCCTGAAAGATTCTTTGGAAAACCAAAAAAGGTTCTTCTATCGCATCATGAAAACTCTTTTGGAACCTTTGTTTTCAAGAGTGTAAAAAAAAATCCTTACAAAGGTTCCATAGATGTTAAAGATTCATCATGGAACCACAGAAACCAACAAAGAACCTTTATTTATCTCATTTCCAATCAAATATATGATTCATACATTGTATTATTCTCCAGAGAGAGTAACTGGACAACTTGTTCCGGACAGGATTGCTGCATCAACAAATAGATAATCAGGTCAAATAAGACAATTTTAATTCAGCGATCCAATAAAAATTATTTCACGGGCTCTTAAGTACATTTAAATTACACAATCATATTTAATTGGGTTAGTTTTCACCCTCACATGAAAAGAGCGTATGTTTAACATACTAATTAAACACTTGTGTATAATTGCAATCATAACTGGGTTGAGCGGTTAGAAGTAATAACTAGATGTCAAGTTAATAAATCTATTTATAAAACAAGGTGAGTGGTTTGTTTTCCCGCAGGACTTTCAATGCACGTTCCTTTTTCCTTTTCATTTTTCAGGCTGGTTGGGAACGAACAGGGTTCATAATTGCATTAAAAAGGCGCTTGTGAAATATTCTGTGGTGCAACAAATGTTATTTTGAGGGCGTGCTTCATTTCAAGGCCTTTCAATAAAACAGAAGTGTGATTTTATTTTGTATTCAGCTACATCCTTCACACGAGTGTGTGTGAAGTTGAAAAAAACGAGTTAAAGCGCCATGCATGCAGCAAGACCTTGGGGCTCGAAACTGAGCTTTTCAGATGATGAGCTCATGTTAAGAACATAAACGACATGAACACTCCACATTTAATCAGATTACATGGAAGTAGCATATTTACATATACATATTTAATATCAATTAGATGCGAATGCAACATAAGTTTAACTTTCTTTTAATATTTACATTTTATTTCAAATAGGTTTAGATAACACCGTCTTACTGTGCATTCTTCATCTCAAGCACAAATATCATTCAATCTCAGCCTCGCATGGCATGTGCATGTGTGTGTGGGCCGTGTTCAGACAGGTAACAATACACTAGCTGTCCCTTCAAGCACAGAATGTTCAAAACGTGAATGTCGTAATCCTAGGAAACCTTGACAAGCACAGACATGAACAAAGAAGAGAAAATGACAAAGCCGGTCTCACAAAACACAACTCTGCCATCAATCAGCCGCTCTAACGCTAAAAGCAGATGCAATATAGTGGGTGAAGAATCTGGAAACGGGCCAATTTCCCAAAAACACACAAATCAAAACAGACAAAGAAATAAAGAAACAACACCAGTTTTTTTTTCCCCCCACATTTTTTATATTTCATTTTACTTTCATTTTTTTCCTTTTTAATGGACAATGTCAAACATTTTTTTGTAGCTTCTGCAAGATATGCTTGGAATTTGTTACAGAAGCCCTCCTAAAACGGGGTCAGTGGTCTGAACGCCCCCATTCCTCTCCGATATCAAACAAAACCCACCCTCCCACCTGAAACACCCGACTCTCTCACACCAGACATCCCCTTTTAAATTAAACATGAAGGAAACTAAACAAAACAATAGTTTGCAGAGGCTCATTACATAAAACGAAGACTTGAAAAGACAAACACTTTAAAAGAGGACACGAAAAGGTGGTCATGATGATCTACTCATCAACTTTTGGTACCTGTTTAAGGTCTTAGGACTCTCTCAGGTGTTTTATATCACAAAAAGTAAAGCGTTAACTTAACCGAGGCGTTTTTCTTCTTTACAGAGTGTCTACATGACTACATCGCCAATTGAGCACTCGCCTCTTCTCAAGCAAATGAAGAGGCAACGATCATATACAATCAGCAGTTGTTTTTTTTGTCAATGATAAAGCCATATATTACATTAAAACACTGATTTTTCTTTGGATGAGAGTTTCTTTTAAATACAGTAATGATAACATGCAGGTTTACCCTCGCCGAGTCTCATTTTAAGATTGCGCAAGACATACGGACCTTGAACTGCTTGCGGCGTTAAATAAAACGGAAAATACACGTGCGTGCGACAGTCTCGATGCCTGCACACAGAACTTTTGCTATATTTATTAGCATGGCACATGACCTCAAATGTGTAACGCACAGGAAGTTTGAGTCTTTGCGCAGCGAAATCTCCGGTCGCCGGATTATTATGCAACGATAATGGTACAGTATAGAAAAAAACGAAAACAAAGTTTGAAAAGACGATTTGGTAAACAGTTCTTGCAAATCCTGTCCTTAATTCTCAAAAACACACAGTACAGTAAAAGCAATCAAAATAACTTTGCTTCAGCTTCAGTCAATCATATGCGTGGAAAATGGTCGACTCTAGAGAATACAGGCGTTTCGAAGAGCGCACAGCTCAGCTATAGAAATACTAGCGCTGAAGATACTTACAAGAAGTTTGCTGATGCAAACTTTTATAGGTACATTAATTAGATAAATTGAAAAACAATTAAATGGGTTTTTAAAGTTTAAAATGTTCAACTGGTGGGCTACAATTGTTTTTTTAAAAACGGAAAATAAAAGCAATAGAAAAAAAACGGTTTAACTAATTTACTTTAGCCGAGATGCAGGATGTAAGGCATGTATGCTAATTTTCTGAGATGTTTTAACGTCCACCTCATCCAATCACATTTAACGCACACATCATAGGATTCTTTCAACTGCTAAAGCTAAAAATCTGCATAAAATCATGGCAGTTCAATCATGCCTTTAACCAATGTGGCATTAGCGAAACGTTGAAAGGTGTAAAAGTGCGCGAAAGTACGGCAGAGGCCTATAATAGCGCGAGTGACTACAAAATGGAGGGTTGAAAGTAAACAAAAACATGCAGACACAATCGCTCCTCCAACCATCTTGAGAAACTTCTGGGATGGTTTTTGCTTTTCCCGCCTTTTTGATTACAAATCGGTGTAGTTTGAGTTATGAACAGGAAAAAAAAACAAATCAAACCAAGTAAACATCACATTTGGTTGAGGGAACACTTGAAAATGTACATGTACATATAAACGTGCCAACACTTGTTATTAATGCACTCATCTTAGCTATAATTGGCATTAAGAAGGTATTTTCCACATATTGTTTCAATACCAAAACTTTTTGTTTTGTTTTGCGTCAACAATTATCATACTCGCCTTGGGTATTACTCACAAATAAGCATTCTATATAATTATGTTGGGCCAAGAATTATTTTGCCAAGCCCACAAACGATGATAAAGAAATTCTGCTGAGCAAGTCTTGGTTGTTAAAAAAAAGAAAAGAAAAGAAAAGAAAAAAAAAAAGTCAGAAATAAACCTAATTTATAAACGTAAATTTACAAAATTTTCTTTTTTTTTTTTTAACTACTGAATCTAAGATGACCTTACACCACCCCAATGCTATGTCTATATATATATATTCTGTATTTTATATACACATGTAATATTCATCATGTACGTATTCATTCATCTCAATTTTCCCACCATTACAGATCTTAAATTTCTTATCTATATCAATAAATAAATAAGAACCATGGTTTGTTTTTCATTATGCCCTCTTCATGGTATTGTGCGATTCTCCCCGAAATGGTCCTGGAGAGTTTTGCATGTAGGGGGCATCACCTCTACCAAAAAGAGAGAGAATGAGAGGAAAACAGAGAAAAAAAAAAATATGAGAGACAGAAAGGAAAGGATGAGGGAGAGCGCTAGGTAGCTGCTGGGTTACTACGCCTGTGCGTTGGTGCCGTTCTTGTCGGGGGAATTGGCTGCGTTGATGGAGTTGGCAGTGCCGTCTGGCTGCATGCTGTCTTTGCGCGGAGGCATTCGCTCGTTTATCCGGTCCAGTCCGCGTGCTTCCTCGAAGCTTTGGATCTTGTGTTGAGGGTTGAAGCCTTGGATAGCTGGAAGTATGGAAGCAGGACGTTAGTTAACGCTAATGCTTATGGAGTGACACAGCAATGTTCAGTTTTATTTTGGGTGTTATCGGTATCCTTTAATTTTATTATACAGTCATATTGATATCTGAATCACAAAAAAAAAGCACAGAAAACTTGGAGCTTAATAAAAAACAAAAAAAAACAATTACCCCCCAGTAGATAACATTTTCAGTCACTAAAAGTAGCATGACTACAGAGGGCTGTTCTTCCCCAAAGAGCACTCAAAAAAGATTGATGAAATACAGCTAAATATACCAGCCAATCAACCAGCTGCGATAAGAAAAAGAGAACTACAGTAAAGCTTGACTAGTTTAGATAACATTAACCACAAACGCTGATGTTCCCACGTCACGCCTGACATTAAAGGCGAAAACAGGCCTAGATCCGAGTTTATTTGTGTGCTTTTTGGTCAGGAAGTGAAACCGATAAAAACAAAGATTCAGTCTTATGCTGTGGTCTGCTCACACCCCAGCCTCTGGCTTCCCCACTTTAAACAGCTGTGCCTGAAGCGTTCACGATTGCAAGACTTTATGAAACGGTCCTCTTTCAAAAGCCAAATCTACCAGTTTATCAAGCGTTACAAGGAATAGTTCACCCAAAAAATGAAAATGTCATCATTTACTCACCCTTGAGTCGTTTCAAACCCGTAAAACTGACTTTCTCATGTGGAACACAAAAGTTATTTTAAAGAACTATTTTTGTCCATACAATGCAAGTCAGTGGAGTCCAAAACTTTTTTTTTTTTTTTTAAATACTTTTTTAAAAATGAAGAGTTAATTAGCAAAAACAGATAACTCCGTTTTCAACAATTTTCAAAAATCATGTTTTTTCATTGTGCATTCCAATCTCAATCAAACTGCAGTTGGGTTATTTTGATTTGGTAAAAGAAATAACAAAAAAAAATACAGCTAACTAACACAAAACAATAAAAACATGATAACATTACAAAAAACATGACTTTTTGGTTATTTGGTTATCAGTTATCTGTTTTTGCAAATAAACTCCTCAAATATTTTTGATGCTCCACAGAAGAAAGTCATACGTGATGAGGGTCAGTGAATTTCATATTTTGGTCAACTATCATTTAAAAATGTTATTTACTTTCTTAACACAAGTTCCTTGTTATAAAGAGTCACATTATGCAAAATGTTTTGCGAATGTTGTTGCAGGTTGAATTTTTATCCGTTTAGTGGCGCAGAAATCTCACACTTCACTTTCAATGCAAACTGAACAAAGAAACAAACATCTCAACGTGCAAATCAAACAAAACTGCTAACTTTAAACGTAACAAGCACGTGAACTACATACAAACAAATAAATACTAAATGACATCGGCGACTACAAAGGGACGAAATGCACACGAAGGACAGACAGTTAATCCAAGGGGGAGGGTAACAGACAGACAACACTGAGAAGTTTTCACAGATGTCTTGCATACCTCGTGCTTCCTCTGCTTCTACGGTGGCTGTGTAAGCATGAGTAGTAGTGCCATGCCCAAAACGAACGGGGGAAAGAAAGTGAGTCAAGTTATCAATGCAATCACAAGTCCATTTAAACCCCCTCCCCATTTCCCATTCATTCATCTTCCCTTCCCAACACCAGCCCGAATGCTTCACATGCCACACAGGAAGAAACCTGAGAGGTTAGTTTAGTTGCTTCATCCAGAACATAAACAGATTTCAAGACTCGTTTTTTCCTGGTCAGGTTTGTTTTTGAGAACCCGTGCTTTTGAATCTGAGATGCAGCACCTTCTAAACTACTCTTGACATGGACCTAGTCTATTTTTAAAGCTGAAGGTATACAATAGCCAAACAAGGAAAGGCTTTCGCCTGTAAAAAAACTCCACGCAATGTACTGTGTATGCGTGATGACAATTTATTTGTGGCCTTCACAGGAAGATGAGAGGCAAGACAGCTTTGAGCGATGTGTCATTTTTTTTTCTTCTATTTTCAGCTGCTGAAGAGTCCTTTTATTTACATCCCCTCCCCCAGTGAACCACCAACACATTACAGTCATAAGACCGCCTTGTAGTTCACTGTGCCTTGACATATGACCTAAACAGCTGGGCTTTCCAAAAAATTTTAATGCCATAGATCTCCAAGTATGAAAATTCCCTTGGAAGTGCATTTTCCATTAATAAATTTTAAAGTCTCTTTGGTTTAAGGCAGTGAACAGTAATATTGTGAAATATTACAACCTAAAGTAACCGTTTTCTATTTTAATGTATTTTAAAATGCAATTTATTCCTGTGATGCACAGCTGGATTTCCAGCATCATTACTCCAGTCTTCAGTGTCACATGATCCTTCAGAAATCATTCTGATATGTGGATTTGCTGCTCAAGAAACTGTGGTTTTGTCAGAACGGTGGTCTAGGAGTTGCCGAGGAGTATAATACACAGACACGTTTAGCAAAAGCCCGCCTTGCATCATTTCCTGATCCCACACGCCTATCAATTTTGCACATTGCTATGCAGTTGCTAGGACATTCTGGTTGACTTTGTCCTGGCTCAAGTAAAAAAAAATCATACTTTAAATATAACTTGAAAACCTTAAAGGGTTAGTTCACCAAAAAACTGAAAAAGACCATTCATCTTCAGATCACAAATGAAGATATTTTTGATGAAATCCAAGAGCTTTCTGAACCTTCATAGACAGCAACGCAACTACCACGTTGAAAGCCCAGAAAGGGAGTAAGGACATCATTAAAATAGTCTTTGTGACATCAGTGGTTCTAAAAAAAATACTTTACGCCTGTAGAATGCCTTTATTCAACAATTTCTTCTCTTCCGTGTCAGTCTTTGACATGCATTCACTAGAGTATCACAATGCTGCGCCTCGTTTACAAGCAGAAGACGACGCACACTGTACATAAAACAGTCTTCGTAAACATGTCTGAAGATTTTGACAGAGAGGATGACTTGCAATTTTTTGACTAGCCTTACTTATCCGAACCAGAATATACAATTAACAATTAAGAGAGATAGAAGTTCTACGTCAGAAAGCCGGCTCCTGCGTCAGCAGACCCACACGCATGTGTCGTGATACTCTCGTGAACGCGCGTGGAAGACTGACACAGAAGAGAAGAAATCACTGAATAAAGTTATTTTTGTTTTCTTTGCACACAAAAAGTATTCTCGTAGCGTCATAAAATTACGGTTGAACCACTGTCACATGGACTATTTTAACGATCTCCTTACTACCTTTCTGGGCCTTGAATGAGTCAGTTGCATTGCCGTCTATGCAGGATCAGAAAGAATCATTTTCATTTTTGGGTTAACTAACCATTTAAGCCTGTCCACTCTGAAAAATAACAGCACAATTTTGAGATCTTTCAAGTCTTTCAACACAAATATTGTATTACAGTTAAGGTGCAGGTGCAAGTCACATTTACTGTTGCTTGAAGAAATTTTGCAGGTGGAACCCAGTTATTTTGTAAATAGGAATCCACAAGATCAGAAGTTTCATGTGAGAGCGAAAAAAAGAAGAAGTTCCAAGCAGATTTCGCCATGCTGACCAACAGAAAGCTGCATGGTTTAAAAGTGACTTCTGTGCAGTACTTCAAACATTGCTACACTTTTGACAACAGAACATGGGCCTTTTTTGCTGAAATTTCGCAAATATGACTGCACCTTCAGGGTTAGAGGTTTGTTCAAATCCCCAACCCCTAGTATGTGCAGTATTTTGTTGTATATTATGAAACATTTTGAATCATACCTAATTTCAGAGGACCTACTTTCATCAAAAACAAACCTGACTATGTTAATATGGTTGTTAGTAGGAGGGCAGCAGGCTGCAGCAGGCTGATGAGTTTTTACAGTGAAGGCAGGGAGAAGAAGCATGGCACACTGACAGGCGCTGGCTAAATTGGGTCATATTGCGTCATAGTCATAAGCTCACAGGAGCCCCTCTCACTGTGAAAGCATCACCCGGCAGCAGCTCCTTGGCACTTGCTACGATCTCAGCAGCGCTTGGAAGTTTTTCAGGTCCCTGTCGGGACAGAAAATCTGAAGCGTGTTGACTGAAATCCCCTTCATGACCAAACCCTTGTAAAATCTCCCCCCTCTTTAAACGATATCACTTTCGATCGAGTCAATGATGGGTGTGCTGCAGAGCTGCCGGGCAAGGCGGTGACAGAAACAGAGAGAGCGCGAGAGAGAGAGAGAGAGAGAGAGAGGTAAAGACTGAGAAAGAAAGTGTAACAGTAGCAGGGGGTCGGTGGAGACCAGGTATCGGCCTCCAAACTACCGCAGAGACAGCTCAATGATGCTGGGAGCGAGACTTACCGCTCTGTAGGGTCTGTCTGCCTCCTGATAGCACACCCAGAGGCAACGTCCCAGTGGGGGTCAAGCCCTTTAACTGCAACACACTCTCATTCTCCTCTCTGAAAACACACCCACACACACGGTTAAGGGATACAAAATCAGCTACAGTTTGGCTTCAAATAAAGTGTCCTGATGAATATTTTCATGAAAGCATCATGTTTTAAGTTGACTTTCTGCATTTATGTCAAACAAATAATGACAAAGTAATGTGTCCATGGAAAATATTTTAAAGGGGTCATATGATGCTGCTAAAAATAACATTATTTTGTGTATTTGGTGTAATGAAATGTGTTTAAAATAGTCAAATTATCTGATCTTTTAAGGAGACTTATTGACCTTACATTTTTAAAATAAATAAATAATATACATACATATGTACCATATGTATTATATTTACACATTATACAAATAATACATATATGAGATAGATACAGAGAGAAAGACAGATAGATAGATCTACCTGATATGTATTATTCATATTTTATAAACCTCTCTCTGATACTACATGCATCAAATGCTTTTGCTTATGCTTTTAAAGAATAGGGCCACATCTCTGATGTGCAGAACAGAGTGAGTGTGTGTGTGTGTGTAAAATCCTTGGCCACAAGGGATTTGTACGTTAAGTGTGTATATTCACCTAAGAACAGAGAAAACTCTGGCCATCTTGCCAATGGCACGAATCTTATTTCGGATCACCTCCTTGCGGACTGCCGGGGTGCCACCTGCCACAAACATGCACAAATAGGGAGGGACAGAGAAAAAGAAAAACAGAGTGAGGGAATGTTAGGGTCTAGTTTTATTTATGGGAATAATTTTGCTGTATATCTGTCAACTTGAAACCTTGTACATTTTATGGACTACTTTAATCAACATCATTATCTGCACACTAGTCCTATCTCATGGCAAGAGTCAAACGTACTACAGATCAAACGAGCCATTACATCCTGAACTCCCATAAGGAATAAATAAACCCCATTTCAAAACTCAAAGGCTCACAGACACACAGAGGAAGTGTGTCAGGCCAAGTTAAAATTATGCACCATTCAAAAAAAAAAGGACAAATCAAATGGGCATCATGAACAGTAAATGGGTCACTGTATTCCTTCATGACAGCTCAGATGTGGGGTGGGGGGTGTTCAGAAAGGGTTCATCTGGTTTCATTACAGCAGAAGAGGCATCACTGTACTTCACGGCTCTTGGTTTAAGAGCAGTAATTCATTTTAAATTACTGAAGTGACTGAAAGGAGACACAGGTTGCCTCAGCTTAGGTAAGCCGCTAAGGGCAATGCATGTCTGGGTAGAAGGTTAGCAATATATTTGATTCACTGATAACTGACAGCAAAAAGAACATGCTTTGAAGGCATTCATGAAGTATAAAACAAGCACTGTTTATGTACTTCCTTTCTCTGCAGTTTTGTATCTTCATAATAGAGCAGGAAGCCAATTTAAATCACACAATTAATGCCGAGTTCGTATTTAAAGCAACTTGCACTCAAGAATATAGTGTCCTAAATAGAAATATATGGGTTATGCGCTGAGGACTAATACACACTAATCAGAGAACTATTATTTGATGAGAAAAGGGGCATGCTGGTATATTTAACAGAGCTGAAATCCATGTTGAGAAGACAAAAGAAATCAAAGAAAGGAGACATTTAAATGATGAGGTTAACGGACCACACTTTTTACATTTTAACTGAAGTAAATGTTTATTATTGAAGTTCCTAAATGGGAAATAAAAAACTGGTAACACTTTGGTATAGGGGCCAATTCTCACTATTAACTAGTAGCTTATTAGCATGTCTATTATTAACGTATTGGCTGTTTATTAGTACTTATAAAGCACATATTCTGCATTACCATATTCTACATCCCTAATCCTACCCAATACCTAAACTTAATAACTACCTTACTGACTATTAATAAGCAGCAAATTAGGAGTTTATCGAGGCAAAATTCATAATTAATGGTTTGTTAATAGCAAGAATTTGAACTTTAAAATAAAGTGTGATGAAAAAAAAAACTGTTTCAAGGTGGTTAACAGTATACAATTTATTTTTGTGAAGTACACTATGATTCAATTTCTTCATTTAAAAAAAAAAAAAATACTTCCTCAGAAATTTGATTAATAATGACAGTAAAGACTTATTGTAAAATATTACAAATAAATGCTGCTGATGTGAACTTTCCTTTCATCATATTAGAATGTTTCTAATATACGGAGAAGTCGTGGCCTAATGGTTAGAGAGTCGGACTCGTAACCCAAAGGTTGCGATTTCGAGTCTCGTACCGGCAGGGATTGTAGGTGGGGGGAGTGAATGTACAGCGCTCTCTTCCACCTTCAATACCACGACTGAGGTGCCCTTGAGCAAGGCACCGAACCCCAACTGCTCCCCGGGCGCCGCAGCATAAATGGCTGCCCACTGCTCCGGGTGTGTGTTCACGGTGTGTGTGTGCACTTAGGATGGGTTAAATGCAGAGCACTAATTCCTAGTATCGGTAACCATACTTGGCCACATGTCACGTCACTTTCACTTTTCAAATAGATTAACAATATTTCACAATATTACAGATTTTAGTTTTTTTTTTCTTATATCCTCAACCTCTATAAGACCACAGTGGGGCTCAACTGAATTTATCTGGGGTTTACATAAAGCTACAAATGCAACAAAAGCGCCAAACACAGACCCATCCAAGGTTCTTACCTTCACATGTGTCGTCTCCCTCTGACATGAGCTCATCATCTGAGCAGATGTTTAACACGTTGACCAGCATCTCTGTTACTGAGAGCAAACGAGAGAAGACCAACTTTAACCGATGCTTTTTTTACTTCTACATACTTCTACTATTAATTACATGCTTAAGCTTTAAAACTATCTAAATCACATGCTTCATACAGTAGTTTTCAACATATGATCATTATGTACAGATTAGGGTTGTGCCAATAGAAGATTGTATCGTGTATCGATGATAGTCAGAGATATCGCCTGTGGCTGATGCCTTTGACGATAGCAAGACGATTATTTTTATTATTAGGCTAGTAATACTCTCTAATTAATATTAGGGCTTATTTGTTGCATTATATTTCTTCTTCCGCGTTTTTACAGTATTGCGAATTATAACCAAACACACACGATTATGCTGAGCTTATGAATGCAACGGCCAATCAGAGGCGTTCAGATGAGCCATCGCTGAAACAGCAGAGTTCCGTTGTTCAGCGCACACACTCGCTGACTGAATTCTGACTCACGAATTCTATCATCTTAAACAACAGTGCAGATGTACGTGCGATGTATAAGAGTTTTATTCATCATACAGTGTCAACAGCTTCACTGATTATAACAGGAGTGTTTTTAAAGTGCATAAACTCGCGCTAGGCCGAGCTTGTGATGATGTTCTTTGGTAATGTCATGTTCTTTGCTCGTTTTCTGTAGCTGCTTTTTGAATAACTGAGGAAATGTAAGCATTATAATTAGTAACTTACGATGTTTCTATTCATTTGTTATCATGTTAAATACAAATTCAGTCATATTAAAAACATTAGGCTGCTTTTAGCCTTACGCTGGAGTTAGTTCACTTTCAGGCAGAGAAACTAAGTAAATAAATAATTTAATAAATTAGCACGATAATATCACATATCGGCGATCTCACAGGCTGACGATAGGACGATGTGAAAATTGAGCATATCGCCCAACACTAGTACAGATATGCATTTGGTTACTCCATCCAGACAATTTGTCTGAATGTTTCCTCGAGGATCAATAAACCATCAGAATTGATGCACAGTAAAACTAATTTCTAAAACCACATCCCATAATTTTGCAAATGCATTTCTGATGTCAAAATCAATGTAAAAAAAAAAAGATTACGCCGTTCCCATTTGCTCTTTACCTTTCTCCCCGACGAAGGGCAGTGACCACGTGAACACGTCCATGAAGTTGGGCAGCCAGTACGGGTGAGGAGAGCAATTGAACTGCCGGATGTTCATGACGTTGTTCTCGTATTTCAACACAGCAGCTTGAGGGGTTAAAGAATCAAAAAGAGGAGTCAGAAATCCTGAGAGACTTTAAATAAATAAAAAATTAGCTATGTATATCTGGACTGCATGAATTTATTGCATAAGGCCAACAGCATAAGGGCAAAAATGAAACAGCTCAGCACAATGGCACGGGCTCAAAACTGTCTTAAGAGCTCTTACCTTTATTGTTATACACATCTAAGTAGTTTGGTGCAGAGAAGATTGTGATTAAAGAGGGGAAGCCTGTCGTCTGACTCTTTCTGTACATTCGATACCTAAGGGGGTCAGTGAAATGGGACAGACATTGTCAGTAAGAGCTGTTTGCATTCAGTTCAGAGCAGTCTGGTTTATGAGTGTGGTGTGCAGTGTACTCACCCTGCGTCTTGGGCTTCATGTGCTCTTATAACTGACAACAAGTTATTATTCATCAGAAAGTCACACACTGCAGGGTAACTATTAAGAGACGGAGAAAGAGGTGTAATTAGCGATTCCAGCAGTCCATCAGTCAGAACGGCATGACTAACATTGAGAGGTGCGACTGTGAACGGGGGACTGTGTAGGCAGCTATCAAACAAATGTGCATGTGGGCAGACGGTCAGCTGGAGTACCTGTAGAAATAGGAACATCCTCTCACACTGTTGTGACAAAAGTGCTCCGAGCTCTTTTCGCTGCCGTAGTCCTCGCCAGGGTCAGACCACAGCAGGTCGCACATCGGCCCGAAAGCTGGAGGCTCTTTAAACCGGTCTAACTGCAGCACAACAGTGCAAAACAAACAATCAGAACTCAAAACCCCAGCATTTCTGTTCTGCAGCACCATCTAATCCATCACCGCAACAAAACATATTCAATCCGTTCGCATTTGCTTAAAATGTACAAATCAGTGACAGATTTTTTATGGCGTTAAGTAATTATTAAAAGCACTGAGCAAACCATCATCTAATCTAAGCACATATTAATAAGGAAATAACTAGATATAAGCATTTTATGGACTGAAAACAAATAGACCAAAAAGTGTTTTAACTAAATATGTGTTTACACAAGAGATGTAACAATATTATCAATATCGTGGTATCGCGATAGCAAAACTGCCTCGATATTATCGTGGTCACATGACGATATGAAACGATAGGTCGTGCAGGCAAAAAGTGTAGTTTTTAAAATATATTTAAACTTCTTATTCTAACGTAAAAGGTTAGAAAATAAGTGGTTTTGGCCATTATGCTTTGACACAGTATGTCAAACGAACTAAAACTGAAAGCACAATATGGCTTAATCCCTTCATCAAGTCTGTTTGCGCTGCGTGTTTCAAAGCGAAGCGCGCACTTCGTTCAGGCGATCAGCTCGTGATCCAGTGTTTTCCACGCCTCAGAACGGCCCCGTTCACAGTGAATGAATTATTGCACGTGCTGCGAGTTTAGCGTGCTTTTGGAAACGCAACAGCCACCAGTAAGGCTTTATTTTCGCAGCAGATGATTACAGCATTTCACTAGATTTGTAGTGAGACTCGTTTTTGTACGCATGTTTTCACTGAAGCTGGAGGTTTCCTTGAAAATAAAAGCTCTACTGCAATTTCCGTCAAAATAAAAGCTTAAAAGTGCAGTATGAATTTCTGACAGCTAGCAGTTTAAATGCAGTCCAAATTCAAAATATCTCTTTCAAGTGTAGAAATTAGGAAAGTAGTATTGTAATTTCCCTACTGTAGTGTAAAGGAAAAATAATATACCTATGAAATTTTTCATTTATTTTGCAGTGCATTTGCAAATATGTTTTACAATATATGGCTATTACTGTCATTTTTGTTATTATTATTATATATTCTAATTTGTTTGGCTTCTTAAAACACCAGTATGAATGTAATTTAGACTGAGACAGTATATGCGAAAAAGAGAGTTGAATCCCCTTTAAAGCTCAGGTACAAGTCAATTCACTGTCTTTTTTCTTACTTAAGTTTTCTTAGTTAAGAGTTCTTAAAGGGTTAGTTCACCCAAAAATGAAAATTAGCATATGAATTACTCACCCTCAAGGCATCCTAGGTGTATATGACTTTCAGATGAATCCAGTCGGCGTTATATTAAAAATTGTCTTTGATCTTTCAAGCTGTTTAACGGCAGTCAGCGGGTGTTGCAGTGCATCAGTCCAAAATAAGTGAAATAAAGTGCATCCATCCATAATACAAAGTGCCTCACACGGCTCTGGGGGGTGAACAAAGGCCTCCTGTAGCTAATCGATGCGTTTTTGTAAGAAAAATAACCATATTTAAAAATCTATTTAATCTAGCTTTCGCTCACTGTTGTACACGGAAGCAGCTCCGGGCGGATGACGTATGGAGGTCGGCTTTGCGCATGCGCCGCTCAGAAGTGACGAACGCGGAAGCGCAGGGGAGAGATCAAAACAAAGGTCACGAATTAGAAGTACAAAACGAGGATTTGTAAAGAAGAATGTCGGAGGATTTCGCTATAAGCCAAGAGGAGACTGGTTTTCCTTTGCTAAAGTAAGGAAACTTTGCTTCCTTTGCTCCTGTTAACTAGTGGTTCAACGGATCACAAATCTCACGGTTCGTATCACATTACGGTTTTTGACCCAAGGATAGGATAATTTTTTGGGTCAGCAAGAAAAGAAAAATATTTCAATTTAACTTGCTTTCCATTTATTACTTAAAGCGAAGTACTTCTTTGATACATTTACATTTAGCCATTTAGCAGACGTTTTTATCCAAAGTGACTTACAAATAAGGACAATACAAGCAGTCAAAACTAACAAAAGAGCAACAATATATATTTCTCAGCTGTTTTCATTCACTTGAGACATAACTGACCGCATTTACCTGAATGATTGTCGAGATGGGTATTTTGTCATAATTTTATGTGTATGTTCAGAGGATTCAGTTCGGTGTCGCGCGCCGCCTGAAACGCGTGTGCGCGCTTCATGTGTGTTCATGTGTGCGGCTGTGCGCGTAGAGAACAGCGCACGAGTAACGAATTGAGTTCCCTTTCGCCTATTCTCTCTGGAATCGTTTAAAATTCGCTTGCTTGTGTAAATATGAACAAATGATAAACTTATACTCTATTATGGTTAAATTTTGCAATTAATCCGCGGATCACATGCGTACCGAACCGTGGGGCTTGGTCTGTACGGATCACGGATCAACTACGATCCGTTTAACCACTACAGTTAACAAACGTTGGTTTTCACGAGACTCACCGGCACATGCACAATGCCGACATCTTACGTCATCCTCCCGGAGCTGCTTCTGTGTACAACTGTTGGCGCAAGCTAGATTAAAGTGATTATTACATTTTGAATATGGATATTTTTCTTACAAAAACGCATCAATTCGCTACAGGAGGCCTTTGTTCACCCCTCGGAGCCGTGTTAGGCACTTTTTATTATGGATGGATGCGCTTTATTTCACTTCTTTTGGAAGATCAAAGTTAATTTTTAATATAACTCCCGATTGGATTCATCTGAAAGAAGGAAGTCATATATGCCTAGGATGGCTTGAGGGTGAGAAAATAACGGGCTAATTTTCATTTTTAATTTTTAATTTTCATCTTTAATTCTGACTCTCAAAGTGCATTAGATAGAGTAATTTAACTTTAAAATGTACAAAATGTAAAAAATTCTCAATTCTTCATTTGCCTTTTTTTTTTATATATAAATATCGCAATAAATATCGTATCGTGGACTTCATATCCTAACCCTAATAAAATAAATTGGTTGACTGAAAACAAGGCAACCATCCTGAACATCTATTTTGTTGTAATTATATAATAATAAAGTAACCATTTTAAATGTAACAAAAATTAAGAATATATTAAAAAGTGTCTTACCGTTACCGTTATTTTTTTATTATTACTATTTATGTAGATCATCATATTTATATAAATCATTCATTATTATAATAAATTTAAGTGTTTACATATTAAATATAAATAATAATAATAAATTATGATTACTATTAATAATAATAATAATAATAATGAATATGAATAGCTCAGGATGGTTGCTAGTTGTCTAACAACTGATAATTTCGAATGGTGAAGTAGAATAGTGAGTTTATAGAGATTTTAAAGCCATCTTTTTTTTAGCTTGAATATTCTTAGCTGCAGTGCTTTAAAAGGAGATCAGTTTAAAAATGTAACTTCTCAGAGAGGGTTTCAGCATGTTGACATCTTGCTGCGCTTTAGTGGTACAACTCCCTCCGAGAAGTTGCATGTCTAAATTCATCCCCTTTAAAGAATCATCACAACAGCGAAACAAGCATCACCTTCATAACAAATTCAGCACCTTCCAATACTGTCCTACCATGAGTATGGCACACACAATACAACAGCCCCACATCTTTCTTACTTTCCGGATGTCGTCGAGGCAGGTGATCTCGGGGGACAGGCCTCCGTGAACGCACAGGAACTGCTGGTTGAGCAGAGCGGCCAGGGGAAGGCAGTCAAAGGCCTCCATGCAGGCGTCATACACGCGCTCCGAGTACTTAATCTTGCCTGCGATGAGAGAATCACAATAAAAACACCCATGTATCTCCAAACAGGCGCAAGTGGGGTGAATGAGCTTTTCAAGCCAAGGCTGTCACACCGTCCGCTTGACATATCACAGTAATGCTGGGTGGGTGAGGGCAGACCGGGGCTTGCTAACTTTCCAAGGCTGAAGGAATAGATGGAGGAGGAGGAGGATGTCGCATGCCTTGTTAGGCGATGTTGCAGCAGAACCGTGCGCTAATTGGGATGAACTGAGGAAAGCAGCGCGGCGGGAGTCTGATTAAAGGAGGCTGAGGCCAGAGACAGGTTACACGTGGAACAAGGGCCGCATACCGCCGTTAAATCCTGACATTTTAGAACGGGCCAGCCGTGCTACGTATTGTAAACAGCAGCACTGACAGATGAGAAACAGGCTGCCTCGTGATGAGCAAAGAACAACACTGCAATGAGCCAGCAAGTGGTGAAGTAGCACATCATTATCAAAGGCCCTTTGATTAGCTGGACGGAGAAACAGCCAGCCTCGAACTAGGCTGATTGAACGCATTAACAGCCAAGATTCTGCTGATCCAAACAGGAATGCCATTGTCCACTGGCTGGTTCCTGATTGGCTAAATTAGGGAGTTTTCATTGGAGAGTTTTTGGTGGAGAACCTCATTCATTTGACCTCAGAGTTCCGTTTGTTTTGTTGACATGAATCGAAGGTCAACGTTTTGTTAGCTATCAGGTCTGCAACTAACGATTAGTTTGATAATTGATCAAACTGTATTTGATTAATTAGATTAAAAAGCCAAACCTTATTTTCTGTAATGTATTGCACAAACTAAAATAAATGTATATATTAATTCAAAATGATAAAGATTCTACTTAGTTATACACAGACTCATACCACCTAAATGTAAAAAAAATAAATAAATCAAAACTGGGCTGTATATATAAAGTATATATATCGACAGTCAAAGTTGCATTACGGCACAAAAGTGCGGACTCAGAGGAAGACCGCGAGGGTTTAGGGTGCTATTTGGGACAGGGCCATAGAGAGAGCCGTTTACTTCATTCCTGAGTGAACCAGCCGTTTGAACGAATCGACTCATAAAAACATTTACCACCACCTGCTGGTAGTTTTAGTTTCTTCTTTAGAGTATCATTTAATTTATTAAAAACATAAATAAATAAAAAACATTAAAGGGATAGTTCACTAAAAATAAATAAATAAATAAATTCTGTCATCATTTACTCACCCTCATGTTGTTTCAAACCTGAATGACTTACTTTCTTTTGTACAACATAAAATAAGTTATTTTGAAGAATGTTGGTAACTAAGCTGTTTTGGTCACCAGTGACTTTCATTCAATGAACAAAAAATAGTGAAATGTTTCTCAAATTATCTTCTTTTATGTTCCATACTTTATGTTAGGCTGTCGTAGCCTAAACAGTTCGGCTAATATTACATATTATTAATACAATAATAGCTTTAAATGATCTTTTAGGGGTATTTTCACAGCCAAATTTAGTTTGTGATTAATTAGATAAAACATTTTAATCGACTGACAGCCCTAATATATATATATATACAGTGGGTACGGAAAGTATTCAGACCCCCTTAAATTTTTCACTCTTTGTTATATTGCAGCCATTTGCTAAAATCATTTAAGTTAATTTTTTTTCCTCATTAATGTACACACAGCACCCCATATTGACAGAAAAACACAGAATTGTTGACATTTTTGCAGATTTATTAAAATGTGTGTGTGTGTGTGTGTGTGTGTGTATAAGAAATATTGATATTTTTTCTAAAAGTTTCACATCCTGCCCCATTTTGAATTTTAACATTCAGTTAAGGATTTTGAATGTATTTATATTCTAAAAAAAATAAGAATCTTGCTCAATGTTTTCCTCCAAACATTGTGCAAATTGAAGACTAAAAAAGTAAATAGAAATTAGCTATTATTTGTATTGTATTGGCTATGATATAAATTGCTAAGGTTTAAAATAAACTGTCCAAAATAAACGTTTTTCAATGATTAAATAATAATAGTAATAATAACCCACACACTTTAATCATAGTAAAATGTAACATTGTAAAAACGAGGGCTGAGAAAACTACATAGTGACAGCTGGAAGCAAAGTTACATTAGCCAAAATATTGAATAAACACCTAAGTCGATGAGGGATTTATATAACTTGCTGAATGAAGGGTGTTACAATTTTGCACAGCCTCTGTGTGGGTCTGCTGATCATCAGCTGCTGGTGGAAATCAGGCAGCCATTCGATGTGCGGGTTTCAGTTAGCTGTCAGTGTTTGTCATGACTGGGCTGATGGCTGATGTAAATCTAAGTGGGGAGTGAAGAGCCCTGACGAGCGCTGTGGGACGTGATTGAGCTCTGTGCCTGTGGCCCGTCGTCCAATACTCCCCTGACACCATCTCTCTCGGGATGCCACGATGGTAATGGGGAAAAAATTGCCATGACAGACTTGAATGATAGAATGTGGCAAAATCTCATTTCATTCTCTTGATAACGTTTACACACACACACGCTCTGAGTTTCTAAAGAGCTGAGCTTACATTCTTGTTTAAAGGTGAAGTACTCCGTGAGATGCCGACACTCGTGGTTGCCTCTGAGGAGGAAGAGGGTGGTCGGGTGGTTGATCTTCAGGGCCCACAGATAGAGCACACACTGCAGATGCAAACAGAAAAAGCGTGTCACAAAAACACAACACACAATAGCAATGCTATCATATATCCCTATTCTGTTTCACACAATTGCGCTGATACTTCAGTTTTTGTGTGTGTCTATGCATATCATTTCCTAGAGCTCAAATAATGAAAATCCAGGTCACTGAAACTTTGAAACCAATTTTTCTCCATGTGGTCAGTCGTTTTTGAAGCACTAAACTAGACATCCTGCAGACGAGGTCTGTCTTGTACATTTGATGACATTTTAATCTTGATACATCTATGAAAACATGATGAATGACAGTATATTCAAACCTCTACGGACACCTTGGCAATTGAATCGCCATTGGCTAGTATATTTTTTTTGTTTACTCGCCAAACTGAAATACTAATATATATATATATATATATATAAAGTTATGCTATTTTACAAACATATATAATGTTTGTAAAATGGTACAGATTTTTAAATGTCTGAAAGTACACTCTTAATATCAGTCAGTCAAGCAGTATAATATGCATGTTATGTAAGACTCTCGCTCTTTGCACGTGTGAGAGAAAGCGACGGCGAGTCGTGAGCCTTCACACTAGAGTTTACGTTACGCCAAATACACAAACACAGGTGCGCTGCGCATCCATTCAAATGAATGAAAAATATCACAGATCGCTTGACGGAGAGTGATACTCTGAGGTGCTCAGTCAGAGTGTTCTGTGAGTGAAAATATATCTGTGCTAATCATATACTCAGCATTCAACTCGCGCACTGGTGTGTAAAATCTGAGAATTTATTAGCCATTGGCTAATATTAGACATCATTTAGTCGCCCAGAGTGAAGATTTAGTCGCATATGCGAGTGATTTACTCTCAATGTAGAGGGTTGATATTGAATTGTAACATACGCATTTCACATTATAAAATAGCTGCATTTACCCAGTGCTAAGTTTCAGTATGGACCATGTGTTAAAGAAACTGATATCCAAGTAGAAATGGAAAAATATGTTCAGTCAAGCCAAAACAAACACAATACTGCTGAACACAATCATTAGTGTTCTGATTCAGCTCAAACTAATATGCTAGAAGGCCACGACACAGCAGGTTCAGTGTTTAAGAGGATTATACCTCCATTACTCCTGATATTTTATTAAAGGAATAGATCACCGAAAAATGAAAATCATTGTACAACACACTAGGATATACGGTATGCAATTTTTCTTTATACATTGAATACTTTAATGACTGCCTTCATTTGCCACTGCGGCGGTATAAAAGAGCACACTGTCGAATTGGGGCTGACTTGTCCTTCCATTTCAAACAGACATATCAATAAATATTTTTTTCAAGAATTTAGACATTTTTACACAAAACTGGACTGGATGCAATTTTATTATTATTATTGTGTATTTATTTTTTCCAAGATGACAACTGGACCAATACACACTGTTTTCTATGAAGTTCTGTTATTTACCCTTGTCACTAAAGTAAATTAACATTTAATGAAAAACACATTACAAAAACACATCCAGGTAAATATATTGCTAAAAATATATTGCTAAAAATATATTGCTAAAAAATGCAAGCAAAAATACAAACGCAAACAAAAATATAACGTACAAATAGGCAGAAAACGAAATATTCCTTCCTAGCAGCAAGTAATAATTCAATAATTCAAACAGCAGATCTATAAACAAGTATTATGCAGAACACTCACGTGCAGCCGACATACACATTGACATCAACAGAATTTATGATTTTTTTTTAATGCATACTTTTATGCAATAATGCATTAAATTGTTCAAAAGTGAGAGTAAAGATATTTATAATGTTACAGATTTATATTCAAAATAAATGCTGTTCTTTCGAACTTTCTATTCAAAGAATCATGGTTTCCACAGAAATATTGAGCAGCACAGCTGTTTGTTTTCAACACTGATCATAAGAAACCAAAATATTAGAATGACTCTGAAGGATCATATGACACTTGAGACTGTAGTTAGTAATGATGCTCAAAATTCTGCTTTGCATCACAGGAATAAATTACATTTTACAATATTTTTGGTTAACTGTATTTTTGGTCAAATAAATACAGTCTTGAGCACAAGTGACTTCTCTCAAAAAAATTATTATTATTTTTTTTAATTTTTTTTTTAAATCTTACCGACCCCAAACTTGTGGACAGTAGTGTACCTTCTTTAGTAACTGTATACAGTAAGCTTTCCTGAAGCAGCAAGCTAGAGTCTACCAGTGGCAGATAAGAACTTAAGAAACTGAAGCTGATGTACAATCCAAACATGCTGAACTACAAACACATCTGAGCAGACAGAGAACACTTTGCTGTGTTAAGCAAGACTATGATTTCAATCTTTTCACATCTACTTCTTTTGATCATCTCTCAACCCCAAGCTCTGAAACTGTGTAACTAACCTGCCTAAAGTTATTAATGTTTGCTTCAAATCTTAACCTGTCAGTCACTCTGCGTGCTCCATTAGCTCATCTCCACTATCCCATTAAACAAGGCTTTACAGTTCACACATGGTTAGATTATCCACAGAACTCCGCTGCGTAACAGTGAACAGGATTTCTGTGTTAATCTGCAGAATACACAATTCTTTCTCCGTCCTCTGAGGAAGGATACTCTGCGTTTAGGTTGCAGTTATCTTTAAAGAGGCCCAGCAGTTGTCTGTTTCATCAAGCCCTACACTGAAAGAAACACTGAAAACGAAGTGCTGAGTGTCAGGGTGGGGCAAAGTCTGGTGGTGTAACCTACGAAAGCGTTTGATGACTGCAGCGTCCCAGTCAGAGGGCATTAGCAGGTGGTGTGGCGGATGACTGAAGTTCAGTGCTTTGTGGTCTGTGATGTCCAGGGAGGGAGTAGGAACTCAGCGTGGCCTTTGTTGTGAAACACACACGCTCTCTTTCTATGCGTCTCAAGTGGACCCTCAGCTGTGTTTGATGGTATTGAGCAGCGGTGTGTCCGCTCTCTTACGCCGCTTCTTTTAACCATGACATTTCTCCCGTCCCTGAACTTTGCAACCAAAGCGTGGTGCAGAGGTGGAAGCTTTTTGAGGACTTGCGCTTGCTGGCCCATTCAGAGTGACATCAGACATCAAGGACCAATGATATAAAAGACGCCAGCTGATAAACCGGACCAGAAGATTTCTGTAACAATTTACACGTAACTTGGATGTTGAGAAGCGCGTTCTCTTGCCTGCAGGATGGCGGGATCAATAATCCTTTAATGCCATCTGCTTCATCATTGTGGCTGCTTAACAATGATGATACAGTGTTACAGGCAGAGGTGACATGCTGATTGCATCATCACAGTGCATGCTGGTACAACAGAGACTGTTTGAATTGCACTGCCACATGGCATTCTCTGAGGGCCAAGTTATATTAAATGTGAACATCTCAGGTGTCCAAAATGAGCACGATGTGTTTATTCGGCAAAGATGTGTTCAAAAGGCCTTGAAGATTCAAAAGACTTTGTATAGAGACTATAAACAGATTTAAAACAAAACTAGCCTCTTTTTAAAAAAAAAAGAATGCTCTGGATTCAAAACAAATTTGGCTCTATTGACAACTTTTGTAGCAAGCTAGTGATGCACCATTCTTTTTTTTACAGAAACAAATTAATTTTGGCTTTATATTTTGGATAAATAAAAAAAATTTGTGGTAGTTAAACTTGGTATGCATTTGAGGTTGTTGTGTTCTCAGGAGATCAATTAAACCAGTCATATTACTGTTAAGTTTGCAGCTATAATATAAATAATTTATGCTGTACGTTCAATAAAATGTGTGTATTTTAATGTTTTTCCCTGTTTTGCTCCATAGACTCCTATTGTAAGTGCATTACTGAACTGAGGAGCAAGCTGAGATAATTTTCTATGGTAATCGACAGCATGCCACTGATACTGCTGATCTTAATATGTAATGCATATTGAGAGCTTAATATGTATTGAACTTGTAGCATTCCTTTAATTATGCCTATTTAGGCATTACAACACAGAAACACAGTTGTTTACCACTTAACCCTATTTTACATAGCTTGCGAACATTACATTTACACTCACCTCAATACTGAAATAGCCTCGATCCACATAGTCTCCCAAAAATAGATAGCGTGTATTGTGCGGGGAACCCCCCACCTCAAAGAGCTTCATCAGGTCAAAAAACTGCCCATGGACATCTCCGCACACTGAAGACAGAGACAAAACACGTTAAAGGGGTCATATGATGCGATTTCATTTTTTCCTTTCTCTTTAGAGTGTTACAAGCTCTTGGTGCATAAAGAAGATCTGTAAAGTTGCAAAGACTAAAGTCTCAAATCCAAAGAGATATTCTTTATAAAAGTTAAGAGTCAGCCACACCTACCTAAAACGGCTCGTTCGAACACGCCCCCACATATCTACCTCACTATGTGGGAAGATTTGCATAACGCCACCCAAATGTTCACGCAAAGAAAGAAGACGTAACTTTTATTCTCACACACTTGAAGTTGAAACAACAAAAACAGTGACATCATTGAAAGGATGTGGCCAAAACAAAAACATTGGAGAACATCGTAGAAAGAAATGAAGAAATATCAGACATTGAGTACTTGCAAGGAGGTCAAGGACATGTCTTTATGAGCTCAAGATGGGAGAAGAAATCTTAAAGGGATAGTTCACCCAAAAATGAAAACTCTGTCATTAATTACTCACCCTAATGTCGTTCCAAACCCGTAAGACCTTTGTTCATCTTTGGAACACAAATTAAGATATTTTGTTCACAAGTATTCTCGTATCTTCTTAAAATTACAGTTGAACAAATGATGTCACATGGATTATTTTAATGATGTCCTTACTACCTTTCTGGGCCTTGAACGTCCCGGTCTATGCAGGGTCAGAAAACTCAGATTATCAAAAATATCTTAATTTGTTGTCTGAAGATGAACAAAGGTCTTACGGGTTTGGAATGGCATGAGCGCAAGTAATTAATGAAATAATTTTCATTTTTGGGTGAACTATCCCTTTAAGATTTGAGCAACTGAAAGTGCACAAATATCAAAACCACTAAACGGAAGTGCACTAATACTAGGCCCACTCAAAACGGCTGAGTGAAACATATCAATAGTGGTCGCTACAAACAGGATGTGGCCAAACCAACCCTATTTGTGCTAAAACAAAGTAAAAGGTTTTAGGCAGAAACACCATCTCAATTATTCATGCCACAATTTCTTCTGTTTTCTCTTGCAAGCCAATTATCATGCACAGCTTTTTCTGTTTGCATCTGCAGTGTGTGCTCTATCTGTGCATGTTATGAAAGACATGGGAGAGTGCAGGGGGGGGGGGTTGAGGGATGGGGAAGATCTGGATAGACGTGCCCATTTATATCCACACACCTGTTTGTGTGTTTGCTCGAGTGTATGGCGAGTGCTGGGGGTTTCCTGTGGCCTCCACCGGGGAATTAAAGTGTGGGGGTGTGTGAGAGAGGGAAAGTCTAGGATGCAACTGTTTCTCTGACCTTTACAGAGCAACCACATTAGGGGTTGCTGTGGAAGACTAGCTCCGTATGAAAATAATCATGCTCTTCTTGCTGGCTTGAGGATTAAGTCGGGGACAAAACTAAACCTAAAGATTAAGTATGGTATCAGAGATGCCCGATCAAGTAACCGCAGAACCTTGAGGGTACTTTTATTGGTCTTAGATAACATTCTCCATGAGGGAAACCATATAACTGTAAACTAACTCTAAGTTTATGAGAAAGCTTGTGGGCGAGTACCATCGCCGGTGGGCATCATGTTTTTCTGTGATTGTACGGCATTAGGTGTAGCGAAGATCTGTGAGAACCACATCCTGGATGTAGATGCTGGTTGTGAATCATGACAGGTTTGTAGCGTCTCCGCACAGTGAGTCATCAAGTGTGCAACACCCTACCTGTGATGGGGGCCTCCACTTCCAGCATGCATTTCTCATGGCGGAGGATGTTTGCGCCATCGTTGATGATGCGTAGGGCTGCGTCTTCCTCCAGGCGCCCCTCTTTCACCAGGTGGCTCTTCAAAAGCTCCACCTTGGGCTTGCCGTCCTCGTACAGCTCTTTCATGGTGAGCCGCGTTGTGGGAGGGTACGGCACTGCTGCAGGAAAGAGAAAGAAAGACTCACTTTTTTTAGTCTTGTTAGTCACAGGGAAACCCTGCTGGCAAACATTTCATACTTCAGAGAAATAATATTGTACATACAAGAAGACATTATACACGTTTTTAGCCATTTTGACTGTACAAAATGGATTACAGCTTTGTGCCAGAGCAATTCAGATCCCATATTGATTTGGAACTACCTGATAGACCGTCGCAACAAATGTCTAAATTTAAAGCAGCATGTTTACAGTCACGATTGTGCAATCGATAACAGTGTGGTGAAGTCTCAGAGTCTATCACAGCATCTGTTGACCAAGGTGTTTCCAAGTTAAGGCAGCTTCTCCACAATTTCAAAGCCAGATGGAGTGTGATAAAAGTGCAGAACCAAAAGCAGAAAAATGTGTTATGGTGTTTCTCAAAATAAAAATATCTCAGCCCAAGAGTTTCTTAACATGCCACTCTCAGGCTTCCATCACAAGTAACTCAAAGCTTGTCTGTCAAACTAGATTTTGACATTTCAGAACCTAAAACCAGCCTAATCATTCAAGATTTTAAGACTAGCTGTTGGAAAAATATGCAGTTTTGAACATTCCTAGTAGGGTTGGGCCGATAGACGATGCCATCGTCCATCGCCGATGGCTGATAGACATCCCGATGTTGAGCCGATTTTGCCACATCGCTCGCGTCCGGTGTAGACACGGTGTTAGGAATCGTTATTTCAAACCGATGAGCTTTGTAAAAATCAACACGTTTCAGAAAAGGCGGGGCATAGAGGAGAAACAATAATGTACATTATGTGGAAAATAATGTGTTTTTTTAACCTTAAACCACATAAACACATTTCATTACACCAAATACACAAAATAATGTTCTTTTTAGCAACATCATATGACCCCTTTAAAAACAACGCAACCTCAGTACACTGTGACATTACTGTTTTCACGATCGGATCATTTCATGAACTTTTCTTGATATGTGAATGCGTGAGTGAATTGATGAATGACATCAGCCGGTTTACTTTAACGTCTTTGCCAGAATACAGGCAAATTAAATTGATGCGTGAAACCTCATGGTTGCAAGACGACACATAATTACTCAATTCACGTCGTCAACTGAAAACATACAGTTCGCAGTTACGAGGCTGCCTGAAAAATGCAATGCCAAGCTGACTGCCAGAAGCTAAAAGTGAAACATATGCATGGTAATAACGTTTACCGTTATTGGTCAGGATTTGGGACTCTCCCACAAAGCTATGTGGGTTATCAGAACACACATGGCCACAGCTGGTCCCGTCCCTTCCCCCAACCAACATGCACAGGTCTTGTTAAGAAGACACAAAGCCCTTACTGTCATGGAGAAGACAGCTTAAATAAACCCTCAACAATCTGGGGGTTGGGATTTTACATTCAGACACCATGTGCATGGGTGAGCGCTGAGGCGGGCAGCATGCAACCAAATGCCTGCTAGAACCGCTCTGCAACCCCCTGAGCCTCGAGCTATTTTCAGTTGCAGGAATTCCACAACATTTAAACCAGTCTAAGAGGAGCTGGGAAGTTACGTCCTGAAGTCGGGGTGGGGTCGGTATGGAATCCTCTCCGCTAGGGTCACAGGCCAGGTTGGCAAAGCTCACTCTCCAGAAGAATGTGGGTCTGGCCGACGGCCATGGCTTTCAGTGCTGGGACCACAGGCATGATAGACCACAATAAAGCTTCGAGCTCAGATGACTAGGAACCTTCCAGGGACTCCAATGGTGGAATTAAGAGCAAAGAATCGGTTTGGGTTTACAAAACCAACCGATTTTTTATGATTTTGGATTCTGTTCAGGCAGAAACCATTAGAGGGTGTTGTTCTTGTTGCATACCAGTATGGGGAAGAGAAAAACGACGAATCTTTCATGCCTGACAGAATGAAGGAAGAACACCTGCTCATTTGCCTGTTTTAACTAAAGCTGTAACAGGGCTATTATCTGGCTGGAGGGTTGAGCTCACCCTTCTGTGGCGATGGCAGAGAAAATGTGTAACCTCTCAGTGTGGCGCATTTGCATGTGAAAATGCAGTCCTCAGGGCGGGAGGGGGATTTTACTATCAAAGTACCAAAAATACATATTTACCTAGCAGTGAGGCTACTGTACTACACTTGTGGCCCTTGATGATGTCAAAACCCAACCCAATGAAGGCCCAGTTAAAAGGAGTTGTTCACTGCATAGCTGTCCAACCATTAAATATCTAAATGCCTTCAAATATACATTTGTTGGTTTTTGTAATCTTACAAGGATAACCTGCATATGATTCTAAACCTTTACTACTATGAAACGCAAAGGAAGGAACATTTTGAAAAATGTCTCCAAGTTTGCTTGACGATTCAATGGGAGTCACTGGGGTCTGATGTGGTTGGTTTGGACCCCACTGACTTGTATTGTATGGACAAAACAGTTATATTATTAGTATAGTATAAATATTTTTCAAAATATCTTTTTTCTGCAGTAAATGACAGAATTATTGGGTGGACTATCCCTTTAAGAGACTTCTGGACCAGACCGCATGTATATTAATAAGGAAGCTAGAAAAGGCATAACTTCCTGTATTCGGCCTGATCTGTGGTTTTATCACACTAACTGTCTTTTTTTTGGGTGGGTGGGGGGGCGGGCTGATATTAGAGAACACATTAGGTAAGAAAACACATGGACTTTGAGGTTCTCAGCAAGGATGACGAGCGCTATCTTGGGCGGTACGAGTGATCCTAGAGAGAAAAGCCGTGGTGAAAGGGTGAGAGACGGGGCCTGAGGTCCGTTAATCATGCATGAGGACAGAATAATTACACAAGCAGGGTGACGCTGACCGTGACAGCTCTAGTTTCTATCTGTAAATAAGCCAAAAGGTCAAAACATCAAATTCACCATCAGCCTGACAGGGGTCCAAAACTTTATAGCATCAGCTGCATAACTCGCTCATTTCCAGATGAAGTGCATTAGATGGTGATACGATTTCAGGGTGTTGATGTTACCCCCTCCAAAAAAAATAAAATAAAAATGCCACAGACAGCAACCCAGCTTGAACTGCTTTTTCATGCTAACCTTTCAAGCTTTCAACTGTTGACCCATGTTTAAATTAGGGATGTGCGCGACGACTAATTTGACTGTCGTTTAGCGGCGGGCTGTAGTAAATGACGTGATTGACATTTGCTGGCTTTGGCCAGCCTGTAAGCTAACGCCTACGTGCCTGTATTGAATATGATTATGCATCGCTCCAGTAGAGTTATTGTAAGACGGTGGTCATTAAAAATAAATAAAAGAGCATACACTCAACGTCTGTCAAAGCATAGCTTATTTATTCAAATCAGCTGGGGAAATGCAGAACAATGGAAAATCAATCAATAGCCTGACAGAATTCTTAATCTTCATATAACGTGGCAGGGGTTCAGAATTCGGCACAACACCGGCGGGCTGTAGTGAATGACGTGATTGACATTGCCTGTATTGAATATGATTATGCATCGCTCCAGTAGAGTTATTGTAAGACAATTTGACATTACAGTTTACTCAAAACTTTTCCGTTTTCTTCTAATTCAAAATAATCACAACTTCTCGTCTTTCGCATGGTCATTTTTGAACTTGCCGCAACTGACACGAAGAAAACACATAGGAGCTGTACCGTTTAGTCGACTAGTCCCGCACATCCCTAGTTTAAATGCACAACACAACAACCACCCTACTGTCCGCCGTTCTCAGCAGGGGAAAGTGAGAAAAGAGTTGCGTGGAAATGTCTAGCAACTAATGAAAGCTTTTAAAGGCACTTAACCTCATCTTTCCTCCGCCACATTGTTCCAAGCACGGCTCGGCTGATGAAAGCGGAGTAGAAAAGTGCCACTGCGATCCTTGATTCCCCACGCTCCGTGCTTTAACTGTGGGAGGACTCATCAAGACGCGGCCTTGGCGAGAACCTCAACTCCCACTCAGCTCTTCAATCATGCTGGAGTTCATTCTCGCAGAGCTTATAGTCCTTTTAAACACAAGCTTTAGTCATTTTACCTTCCAAACACGATGGACGAAAGGACAGGCCGGCATGCTTTCACCAAGCTTTTTACATTTTTTAACACTTGAGTCGACTGAATTCATCTCTCATCAACCAGAAAATATGCTAAAACAGAATTATCGCAGACGTGGTAGAAGAATGCTGGTGCACGACACTGATTGGTCACTGGGTAGTAGCGCTTTCAAGGTGCTAACAAGCTACAATTAACACTTGCATCAGACAATATTCCCTCTCCACTGTCTTGATTCTTTGTAATTGCCCCATATGTGATGAAGTTGGCATCACTGATTCTGTTACTTCCTAGTTTAATACTGTGATGCTGCTTTGAACAATCTCTATTGTGTCAAGCGCTATAATAAATAAACTGCATATAACTGACTATAATTCCCCAGTTCAAACCTCTCTCAATGCAGATGTCTGTCCATCGTGGCTTACAAAACAAATCCCACAAAAACATTTTTCAGACAGCCTGCGATTACGCATACGTGTGGCGTAAAATCCAGGTGTTGGAGTGCTTAAACTGAAAGGAGGCATTCAGTGAAACCTGGAACCAATTTGGAGCTGAAATGCTCCTGTTCCAGCAAAAAGAAGAACAAGGATTCTAGACAGAAAGAGAGTCGGCTCTTTTTAATGAGGAGGTTTTTTTTGTCTGTAGCGATTTAGATGGCTGAATGGTCTGACTTGGGAATGGAGATGCAAGTCATTACGGATGCAGAACTAGACTACTAAAGAGCCCAGTGCTATCAGCTCATTACAGAGACTGTCTAATTGAGCTCGATCAGCCAAAACACAGCGAGCTGACAGAGCAGCACATAAGGGACTGAGAGGAAAGAGCACACTATATATGCCAGCGGACACACTAGTTTTAATCAAAAACAAGCCAAAGTTCCCCGGATGCCTCTATACCAATGAAGCCACAGACCTAATGATCCAATTAGTTGTAGTACTCTACTGCGTCTCACCTCTTTGACATAAAAAAAACTCCCACGAGCCCTTGATAAGGAGTTGATGCTTAAATGCAACAAATGCATCACCTAACCAAGGGTCAATCTTTTTTGTGTCTAAAATAGGATTATAAGTACGAGGTTAATTGGGATCACATGGATAACTTCAATTAGTTTAGTTCTACCTCAGACAAATGAGTAAAGCTGAAGTGACACAGTTCTCACTGATGTTGCCCTAAAGGAGGAGGAAGAAAACGGAAGAAAGCAAATGTACTACAGTGAATTAATTGTTGTGCAATGATGATGAATGTAAACCTATGGGATTTCTGAAATACGCTTGCATAAAGCCAGCCAAATTTCGAAATCTGATTCAAGTCAATGTTTTTAATTAATAATACACACACAAATGCATGCATTTTCTATTTTAAAATATTAAATATAAAATTAAAAAATAACTACAAAATCGTATATGTATATTAACTATAGCCGTTAAGCCCACCAAAATCAGTTTACATAAAAACATATAATCAGTTTACATAAAAATATATATTCCCATTCTCAGTCTCTCATTTTAAGATTATATGTATAGTCCTATAGTAATATATGCTCCTATAGTAATACAGTAAAACACCTGTAATGCAAAATCAAATGTTTATTTTTCGTACTTGACAGCTTTGGCAGTTTCAGTTTCATGAATCCCTGGGGTTTTGCATATTCAGACCACTTTGAGTATCATGCATTCCCACTAATATCCCTATAATGGTCTAATTCACTAATGCCAGCTTTGCTTCTACGCAATGTTTGCACACTAGAGCTTAAAACTTCATTGATCTAATTTAATTCATGCCAATTCATCCCATGTGCAAAATCAAATGTTTATTTTTCGTACTTGACAGCTTTGGCAGTTTCAGTTTCATGAATCCCAGGGGTTTTGCATATTCAGACCACTTTGAGTATCATGCATTCCCACTAATATCCCTATAATGGTCTAATTCACTAATGCCAGCTTTGCTTCTACGCAATGTTTGCACACTAGAGCTTAAAACTTCATTGATCTAATTTAATTCATGCCAATTCATCCCATGCAGCCTGAGCCAACCTGTCAAATTAACCATCAACGTGTGTGTCATTAGACTTTTTAAGTTATCCAAAACTCAGTCAGCACAACAGATGTCCCGACTTGCTTATATTTATATTACACAAAAACTGAATGTCACCCATCAGCTAACGTTACCAGTGCGGGTTCGCTAACACACAACCAGGCGAACGGAATAAAAACGTGCTGTTTCACATAGAAAACGTACCTTTGACGAGCCGTTCGGTGGTGGATTGTTTATTCTGCTCCTTCCCCGACATCCTTCAGTGTCTCTCGGTGGAACAATTGTAATTCCTCCTTGTAGCTGAACCCAGCTAGTCGCGTTAGCCCGCTAGCTCGGCTAAGCTACTGACGTTTCAGTTCGCGAGGAAAAAAAAGTCCTGACCGCTCCGCTGTAAGAGCGGGGAAACGGAGAAAGAGCGCTCGTCGGGGTCGGTTTGTTGATATGTACGCTCAAACGGTGGGGGAAAGGGGAAGGGGGAGCCCACTGTAACGGCAGAGTTTTATTTTCTGCCGTGTCTGTCCTTCGGGTTTGCTCATACAAGCGACCCAGCTGCTGTCAATTTCTCTAAGGGAGTAGCGATGTCCGACTCGTGAACGAATCGTTCGCTTGAGTCGGATCATTTTTAGGGAATCGTTTGAACCTGTTCGTAATTCCTGTCTGAACGGTTCGTTGACGAAAAGGACTGAATCGGTTCTCGAGTCAACCGACTCACTGAACCAAGAACCGTCTCTTTTGGACGTGTCCTGTTCACAATGAGCCAAGAACTGATGAGTGCGTTGATTTAAATAATGTACTAATAACATTTTAACTATTCCTAATCAAAATAACTGGAAATGCGTAAGGCACTTCAATGAATCTGGACACATTAACAACTTTTTTATTAAAACTCATAACAAAACTCGTAGTAATTGCAATATGTGTCTACAAATGGCTCAACATGTTATATGCCACGCAGGTGACGCAATACGCAATGACGTAAAAGAATCAAAAATTGGTTGTTGAACTGGTTCTTTAAAACGAACTGTTCAAAAGAACCGAATCTAAAAAATGACTCAGACTTCATCTCTATGAAGGAGGGGTGGCGGAGTGAGCGGCAAGCGACAATAAAAAGGCTCTGCACGAGATGTTGCCTGTTTTTGTCAAGCGACCACAATGGCTTGTGTATAATAAATGCGTATTCTGGTTCGTGTTTATTGTAACGCTCAAATTTTGTGTCTCGCTGGTTTGTCTTTCTCCTTTCTTGTTCGATCCGCTGAGTCGCCTTGACTCCCTTCTTGCGGATTAAATTTATCCATAGTGCAAACGGATTTCCTATAACATGGCGGTATCTGCTCAGCACATGTATTTGTGGGTAGTGTAGTTTTAAACACACATCTAACGCTTTATGAAGTCAGTTATATGCATCGCTATACAATTATCCGCTAGGATAATCCGTTTATCTGGAGGACGTGTATATTGTTTTATATCCAGACAGTATAGAGACACACTAGGAGCAGGTTAGAATTAATAAACAGTAATCCAGCATTGTCACCCAGTGGTCAAATAAAGAAACGTCCGATTATTTCATTGCTGACTTGAAAGATGTATGGTAAAACTGATTTTAAAAAGTTTTTTTTAATTGTTTAGATACCACACACAGCAATGTATAAGTGAATACAGACTTAAAATGTAACCCCTTAATCACCTGAGTATGGGAAAAATATTCTCATTTAGGCTTTATGTCAAACCTATTGTTTTCTTTTCTTTAGGCTATAAATCTGAATCAAAACGGTGAATAATTTTGTTAATTCAACAACACACACAGTAGCCATAAAGAGGGTATAAATATGACAAAGTACGTTTAAAATATCAATTTATAATAAAGAGAGCGCTAATTTGACAGTAGAATACGTTTAAAGCGGTAAAGATTGCAGTGTATGAAGTGGTGACTATCTACAGATAGGTTGCATATCTCCAATATGGCTAATTTGATGTAGGCTATCCTATGGAAAGTTATTGAAGCCGATATTCATCAGCAGAGGGCGGCATTCTACTGCACAGAGAGGGCGCTATGATTTTTTTGCATGAACATATAATATGAGCAAAATGAGTGTTTGCTTAGGCTACAAAATATATCTGAATATCCCCTCTGAAATGTGATATCATGCTGTAACATACGTGACTGATAATTATGAATTTTATATACAACACATTGAGAAAGGTGTGAGAGTGCTTCATTACCAGAGTCTTTTGGAACTGGATTGGTCATGACTGAATGCATTAAAACTAGAGAACTCGCTCTGCCTGAATTATTATTCTGATTATTATTATTACTGTAATTATTTTGATACCATTTAAAATAATAGCGTTAATAATAGCTAGATTTAAAATAGAATATTAATAGCTAAAGTGAAATAATTCCGCTCCCAAACAAAATCCCTGACCTGACAGAACGTTGCTATGCAACAAAAACTAGTTGTGTAGCGATATCGACGCTGTTAAACAGGGTTCGAACGCGGTATTGACCAATCAGAAACCAGAACCAGAATATTCGTTTAGAATGTTGCTTAATTACTTCTATATTAATAAAGTCATCATAAAGTAAGTCAATATCCATATACTTCAAACAATACATTATGTTTGAGTGGCGTGGGCTGAAAGCATATTTTAATTTAAAAACATCTATTTTTAGCGTCTATCAGGGTAACTCGCAGGTTCACTCACAGTGCGGCTCTCAAAACTACTTATAGCTCGTGATTTCTCAGCGGAACGAGGCTGAGAGAGACTTCAGTGTGTGTTTCTCGTCTCTTCGTTGACTTCGTGAGCGGGTTTTTCGTTATTTGGTTGTTGCCGGACTCAGAGGTCGTAGGCACCATGCCGTTGACTGTCCACTTCAGGCGCGCGAAAGGATTCTTCGCGATCAAAATATCGATACAGTGATGTTCACGACACATGGCGCTGCTGAACTGGTTTGGGCTTCCAGCGAGACCGAAATCGCCTTTCTCAATGGGACAACTGAATTTTCCCCCACCGTAGTAACCACAGCGGAGCCCAAAAGTAATGAGTCGTGTGGGGAGAAGCAGACTCTGGACTTGGACTTGACTAAGACAGTGATTATTGGGATGATGCTCAGCACCATCACCGCGGTCACTGTGATGGGCAACACGCTGGTTGTGATTGCGGTGTGTGTCGTGAAGAAACTCAGACAGCCGTCAAACTATCTGCTAGTATCTCTGGCCATAGCTGATCTGTCTGTGGCAGTGGCCGTGATGCCCTTTGCCATCGTGACTGACCTGACAGGAGGCGTCTGGCTGTTTGGGGAGGTTTTCTGCAACATCTTTGTTGGGATGGATGTCATGTGCTGTACAGCATCAATTATGACATTGTGTGTGATCAGTGTGGATAGGTAAGTTCATATCAAGAGTTCAAGATTTCACGATCACTAGCCTAGCCAATATGAATTCCACTTTCTTTCTCTTAAAATAACCGTTTGTTATTTTAAGAGAAAGAAAGTGGAATTCATATTGGCTAGGCTAGTGATCGTCCTTTTCAGCAATCATCTGTTTTCTGCAATTTCAGACAAATATATATATATATATATATATATATATATATATATATTATATGCATAGTTGTAATTATATGCATAAGTTGCATTTATGGTGTGAAAATAATATGCAACAAAATTATATTATGTATAAATATATATCAAATCTTTATCTTTTATATATAAAAATCTATATAGAAATTACAGAAAAAATTTATTGTAACAATAAAAATAAAAGACATTCATTAATAACCTAAATAAATACTCTAAGTAATATTCACTGAAAAAATTGCGACAACATGCCCCAATAAAACCTGTTAAAACCAGCCCAACCTGATACTAATTTTAAAAATATACAAATACAAACAATTCATAAAAAATAAATAAACAAAAATTCTAATAAATAATCATAAAAAAATAACTGTTAAAATCTACCTGTACCTGAGCTATTGCAAAATAATATTTATGATTTTTCTCCAACACACATATATAGAGAAAAGAAGCATTTAATTGTATTTTTGACTCCAACCCTTATAAAATATAAACTAAAACTATTTACTAAAATGTCAAAATGTCTCCTTGATAATTGAAAGTATACATGAGCTTCTAGTCTGTTAAGCATTGCATAATGTTTATTCACATTTTTAATGAAAATTGAAAAGCATATGGGGTATTCAATTGATTAGTTTTTGTAAAAATGAAAGACAAAAACACTAGAGTAACCCTAAATAAATAAACTGAGCAATAAAAATGCTTCCATGTCATTTGAGGCTTGATGAACTAGAGACTTTGAAGCTGCGTCCTGGTATGTATGCAATTTTGGTGCTCTTTGATAAAGTTCTGAGCTGGAACCCCAGGGGGTGAGTACTGCATGTTGAAACACCCTGCTTGGCCGTGGTAATTCGATTAAATAGTTAGGTGCCTTAAACTGCCCCTGCCTTAAACCTAGGAATGTGGAATAACCTCGGCCTGATGGTGTCTTTCTTACATTTGCTTATGTAACTTTTTTGTTAAATCTATTAGCATAAAATAATATATCAGAGAGGTCATATCAAAAGGTTGGATATTTCATATATATATATATATATATATATA